TCCTAGCTTACAATAAGTGGTCAAGTTAAAATTTAAGAAACTTCTTGAATGATGAAGAAAAGCTATTTAGACAATTAGTCTTCTTTGAAAACTTACAAAAGGTTAAAGATCACAATAGCCAAGACTACCACACTTACTCACTTGCTTTAAACTAATTTTCTGATATGACTGAAGAGGAGTTTGTTGAGAAGGTTCTTATGAAATCTGATTTTGTTGATCTTCACATTTAATAAGCTACCAGTAATAACTCAACTACTTCTACTATTGAAGAATCTACATCATCTAATTCTACAAGTGATAATGCAGCTGTTACTGTAGATTGGAGAACTAAAGGTGCTGTGACTTCAGTTAAAAACTAAGGTTAATGTGGCTCTTGCTGGACATTCTCTGCAGCTGGTTTAATGGAATCTTTTAATTTCATTAAGAATAAAAATTTAACAAATTTTTCTGAATAGTAGCTTGTTGATTGTGTGAACTTTGCAAATGGTTACTCTTCTAATGGGTGTAATGGTGGAAACCCAACATAATGCTTAGATTATTCCTCAAAATTCGGTATCACAACCTTACAAAACTATCCATATGTTGGTGTTTAAAAGAAGTGCAATATTACTGGAACTAATAATGGTTTTAAACCTTAATCTTGGAAGAAAATTCCAAATACTTCTAAGGACTTATAAAATGCTTTAAATTTCTCACCAGTTTCTGTTGTTGTTGATGCTTCTACTTGGAGTCACTATAAATCTGGCGTCTACAATGGTTGCAACTAAACAAAAATTAGACTTAATCATGCTGTGTTAGCTGTTGGTTATGATTCTGTTGGTAACTGGATTGTTAAAAACTCTTGGGGTACAGGTTGGGGTGAGGAAGGTTATATTAGACTTTCTCCTAATAACACTTGTGGTATTTTAAGCTATAATAATTAAATAACAGCTTGATTAAATAAAAACTTAAATTAGATATTTTAATTATATTAAATTTATTCTAAAGTAAAGTGTTAAAAAACTATTTTTCATTTTAAAGTATTCTTTAAATTTTTTTGATTAATGACTAAAAAAAATTATTAAATTCTTTTTTAAAGTATGATAATGTTAACTATATTGGTATTTTTTAATTAAAAAATGGCTTATTAAAATTTTAAATGCATGTACAACATTTTTATTTCTATTAAGTTAAATACTAAAAAATATAAAAATCACTGTGTTTTTATTTTAATTACATGTTTTTTAAACAATGCATAGTAATTAAATTTTTAAAAATGGAGTGAATACAAATCAAAATGATTAACTAAATCTATGACAAAGATGCCAATAAATACCAGAAGACTTACTAAGAATAACTTGGAGGTAGGGTTTACATACAGATGGATTCAAAAAAAACTAATTTGAAGAAAAATTTTTATTTATCCCAACTAAACCCTGAAAGAATTGTAGTTGCTTTAGTATATTCCTGATTCAATGAAAATGAGCATTTTTATAAATTTTAATTAGATACCAAGTATAATATATAATACATTTTTGCAATTATTAAGTAAATTAAATTAGCTTTCGCTACAGTATTAAAATAAAACATATAATATTTTATATTTTTTTAACTTGCTTTATCAAAATGTATTAATTGGACTATTTATTTATATAACTTATAAAGAATCTATTGGATTTGTAAAAAATATTTGTAATTAGATAAATTAAAGGATATATTTTGAAAATTTATTTTCAAAAATAGATAGAAAATTATCAATTTTGATTTAAGAAAATCAATTCATAAAATTCTATTTCGTGGACAAAGCTAATTAAAGTCATGATCAAACAGTGTTTTTACTCACTAATTAATTTTTTTTTTTTAATCTACTAGAAATTAAATTTTTATCCTGAATATGAAACAATTTGAATTACTTATTTATCTTTTATATATTTCATTTTATTTTGAGAATAATATGGGATCATTTTAAAATATTTTAAGTTTTTGCTACTTTTTAAGTGTTTATAATATTCTAAAAGCAACGCATCTTATTTATAAATGAAATAGATTTTTTTTACCATTAATTTAGGTGAAAATTGATTAATAAGTAAAATCACCAAATTAATAATCTATTCCAAAAATAGGTTGTTATAAAAATTTAAAAATCATAAAACTTATAATTAAAAATAATGTTTTAGTTAGTGGTGTTTTTTTTAATCTAATTTTTATAATAGCCATAACTGTAAGTAACTTTGAGGCTTAATTTATGTATATTCATTTATAAATAGACAAAAATTAAGTTTTATAGATCAGACATATAAATTAATACTCCTTAACTCTTACAAGAAAAATTACTAAAACTCGAATGCTTCGTTTATTTTTTAGACAATTAATTATTAATTAAATTTTTACTGGCTTGAATAATAAAAAAATAGAATCTCAAAAAGTTAAATTTGCTAATTCATTCAAGTAAGTATCTTTCTGTAATTTAATTAATCTAACTTCACTTTTAATTACAAGTTTTATTTCATGAAAATAAAGATGTCTATATTGAAAAACTCCTAGCCTACAATAAGTGGTCAAGCTAAAATTTAAGATCCTTCTTGAGCGATAAAGAAAAGCTATTTAGACAATTAGTCTTCTTTGAGAACTTACAAAAGGTCAAAAATCATAATAGCCAAGACCACCACACTTACTCACTTGCTTTGAACTAATTTTCTGATATGACAGAAGAGGAGTTTGCAGAGAAAGTTCATATGAAATCTCTAAAGAAATTATTTATATGGTCAAATACCTTTATAAAGTCTAGCGATACAGCTTCACTATTTTTTAGAAAGGATTTATTTATAAATAATACTTTTTTATAATAAAATTTTTATAATCGAATATGATTTATAATCATATTAATTTCAAATTAATCAAAATATCTTGTTTTTCAATGAACATTTTTACCAATTATAAAATTCATTTTACAAGCTACGAGATATGCCTAAAATTTAAATAATGGGGTACAATTTTCTATTTACTAATTTAAGACAAAAATAAAATGTGTTATTTATAGATGTTTTAAAAATAAGAGTCAGCCCACTTTTATTTGTTCAATTATGCATTAAAATATACTTAATCTGAAAGTAAATAAGACGTGAAATATCTAATTAAAAATAAATGTAAAAATATTTAATATTTAACCATAAATCAACAAAGATAAAATTAATCAATAAATTATGTTTGGATATACTTATATAGAAAAAATCAGAAATAAAAGTATGGTTAATTAATCATCTTTTATTTTAGATAAATAATATCCATTTAAATATGTTTAACTTAAATAAAATAAATAAGTGGTTAATATTTGTTTTTTGGTATTTTAAAATCAGTAATGTTTGATGTTTGTTTGAAAGAAATGATTAAGACTTTCTCTGCTCACATAACATTTTTTTGATTCATATCTTTGTTACAGTTAATGAAAATAACATATCCATGAATCAAAATAGTCTTATTCTACTTTTCATTAATTTGCAAAGTAGCTATTCCTTGACAAAAATAGTTTAAAAAATAATTTAATTTTTCAAAAAACGGTTAAATCAAACAATTTATAAATAACTAAAATAATTATATAATCATTTTAAAATATAATTAAAATCTTAGTTTCAACAAAAAGTAAATATTTTTTGATTGTTTTATTTGATGGATGAAAAAATATATATATGAATTTAGCTTTACAAGTTTTGATTTTTAATCCATTTAAATTAAATCATCAAATCCAACTTATTTGAGAATATTATAGAATGAACATTTTTATAAATTGTAATAAGTTGATAAGCTTGATATATAATATATATGTGTAATTATTTAGTAAATTAAAATAACCTTCACAATAATCTTTAAATAAAATATAAAATATTTTATATCTTATCACTTGTTCAATATAAAAAAGTGTTACACTATTTATATAACTAATAAAGAATCTTTAGGAAATTAAAAAAAGTTTTTGTAATTAGATAAAGTAAAAGATATATACTTAAAATTTATGATCAAAAATAGATTAAAAATGACTAATTTTTGTTTGATTAAATTTAATCAATAAAATTCTATTTAGTGGAAGAAGTTATTTAAATTAAAATCATGATCAAAAATAATATTTTTACTTACAAATAAACCTGTATTTTTTTAAATGATTAGAAATCAAATTTTGATTTTTCTAGTTAATTATTAAATTTTTATCCTGAATATCAAAATGTTTCATTATTTATTTTTAAAAACTTTTTTTCATTTTATTATGAGATTTCTAAAAGATTATATTAAAACATTTTAAGTTTTTGCTACTTTCAAGTACTTATGATACTCAAGCTATTACTATAAATAAAAAAACACATCTTATTTTTAAATGAAATAGATTTTTTACCATTAATTTAATTAATTTAGGTGAAAAGTGATTAATAAGCAATTTTAACTAAGTAATTAATCTATTCCCAAAATAGATTATTATAAAAAATTCAAAAATCATAAAACTTACACTTAAAATAGTGTTTTAGTTAATGGTGTTTATTTTGATCTAATTTCCATAAATACCATATATTTTAAATAAATATTATGCCACATTTTAACCACAATCATAATAAAAATATGATTATTTTTACCATTATTAGATTTAAAGAATTAACTTTTGAGGTTTAGAGTTACAAAAGTAAATTTAGATACTTTCGTAAATAAATTGACAAAAAGTTATGTCGTATAGATCAGATAGATATATAGATAGATAAATAGATAAATAAATACTCCTTAAGCCTTTCTAGAAAATTATTAGAGCTTGAATGTTTCATTTATTATTTGTTAGATCAATTAATTTTTGAAATTCAATTTTTTACTGGTTTGATTAATCAAAACATAAAATCTATAAATAAATTGATTCAAGCAAGTATCTATCTTTCTGTATGTAAATTAACCTGAATTCACTTTAAATACCAGTTTTTTTTTATGAAAATAATAAATAATACATAATTAACTAAAACAACATAAAAAAAAATTATTCTTACTAAAAAATGAATTCTAAGTTTATCCTTTTGAGTATTGCTTTGCTTATGCCCATTTATTTAGCTTAAAATGTTTCTATTGAAAAACTACTTGCTTACAATAAATGGTCCACCTAAAATTTAAGAGCCTTCTTGAGCGATGAAGAAAAGCTATTTAGACAATTAGTTTTCTTTGAGAACTTACAAAAGGTCAAAGATCACAATAGCCAAGACCATCACACCTACTCACTTGATTTAAACTAATTTTCTGATATGACTGAAGAGGAGTTTGTTGAGAAAGTTCTTATGAAATCTCATGTAGTTGATCTTCACATTAAATAGGCTACCAGTAACAACTCAACTTCTTCTGCTTCATCTAATTCTACAAGCAATAATGCAACAGTTACAGTAGACTGGAGAACTAAAGGTGCTGTGACTTCAGTTAAAAACTAAGGTTAATGTGGTTCTTGCTGGACATTCTCTGCAGCTGGTTTAATGGAATCTTTTAATTTCATTAAGAATAAAAATTTAACAAACTTTTCTGAATAGTAACTTGTTGATTGTGTAAACTCTGCAAATGGTTACGGTTCTAATGGATGTAATGGAGGATGGCCTGCATCATGCTTAGATTATTCCTCTAAATTCGGTATCACGACCTTATAAAATTACCCTTATGTTGGTGTTTAAAAGAAGTGTAATATTACTGGAACTAACAATGGTTTTAAACCTAAATCTTGGAAGCAAATTCCTAATACTTCTAAGGATCTATAAAATGCTTTAAATTTCTCACCAGTTTCTGTTGTTGTTGATGCTTCTACTTGGTCTCACTATAGATCTGGTGTATACAATGGCTGTAACTAAACCAAAATTTAACTTAATCATGCTGTGTTAGCTGTTGGTTACGATTCTGTTGGTAACTGGATTGTTAAAAACTCTTGGGGTACTGGTTGGGGTGAGCAAGGCTATATTAGACTTTCTCCTAATAATACTTGTGGTATTTTAAGCTATAATTACTAAATTACAGCTTGATTAAACAAAAATTTACATTAAATATTTGAATTATATTAATAATAAACTAAGATACAGTATTTATATGTATTTTTCATTTTACAATATTCTTAAAGTTTTATAGATTAATTAAAGTAAAATATTATTAGTTGATAAAATATTAATTTTTTTGATGCTTTTTTTAGTTATAATAAACAGTTTAATTGCTTTTTGAATTTTTAAATAAAGAATATTTTTTTAAAATTTATATATTAGTATGGATTTTTAAATATTGTTTATTAAACATTTAAAGTAAATATTAAAAGAAAATAATATTTATTAGGTATTCATAAGTGTAAATGATATTATGAAATATAGTTAAATGCCTTTAAAGTCTAGTGACATTTATTAAAAGTAAACGATAGGGGGAGTGACATAAAGAGAAATATATTCAAAAATGAATGAAAGTGAGTATATGCATCCCCGCCAAACTATATATTTTATTATAAAGCTTTATTTTATTTTGAAATCAAAATATTTAGAGGGGGATTTCTTATTGGTGGAATTTAAATAGCTACAATTTTCAGGGTGATAAAAATGAAATTCTCTTATTGATTTAAGTTTTGCAATTAAATTTGTTAAGCTTGTTAATCTTTGCTTTGTTCATTAGTTTAAGCTTGTTATTAAGGCTCTGATTGATTTAAGTTTTACAATTAAATTTGTTAAGCTTATTAATATTTGCTTTATTCATTTGTTTAAACTTGCTATTAAGGCTTTAATTATTATTAAAATTCCTATTAATTTAAATTTTAAACTTATAGATCCTTTTTCCCATTTAAATAAAGCTAAAATGACTCTTCTTATTAATTATTTTTACTGGCTTGAATAATAAAAAAATAGAATATCTAAAAGTCAAATTTGTCATCATTAAAGTAAGTTTCTTTCTGTATTTTAATTAACCTACTTCACTTTAAATTATTATTTTTCTTTCATGAAAATAATAAATAATAAATAATTAACTAAAAATACATATAAAAAAATTATTCTTATTAAAAATTAATTCTAAGTTGAGTATTGCTTTGCTTATGCCTCTTTATTTAGCTTAAGATGTCTCTATTGAAAAACTCCTATCTTACAATGAGTGGTCAAGCTAAAATTTAAGAACCTTCTTGAGCGATGAAGAAAAGCTATTTAGACTATTAGTCTTCTTTGAGAACTTACAAAAGGTCAAAAAATCGTAATAGCCAAGACCATCACACTTACTCACTTGCTTTAAACTAATTTTCTGATATGACTGAAGAGGAGTTTGCTGAAGTTCTTAAGAAATCTCATGTTGTTGATCTTCAAATTTAATAAGCTAACAGTAATAACTCAACATCTTCTACTACTGGAGGATCCACTTCATCTAATTCTACAAGCAACAATGCAACAGTTACAGTATACTGGAGAATTAAAGGTGCTGTAACTTCTGTTAAAAACTAAGGTACATGTGGCTCTTGCTGGGCATTCTTTGCAGCTGGTTTAATGGAATCTTTTAATTTGATTAAGAATAAAAATTTAACAGATTTTTCTGAATAGTAACTTGTTGATTGTGTCAACTCTGCAAATGGTTACGGTTCTAAAGGATGTAATGGAGGATGGCCTGCAGGATGCTTGGATTATTCCTCAAATTTTGGTATCACAACCTTAAAAAGCTATCCTTATGTTGATGTTTAAAAGAAGTGTAATATTACTGGAACTAACAAAGGTTTTAAGCCTAAATTTTGGAAGCAAATTCCTAATACTTCTAAGGACTTATAAAATGCTTTAAATTTCTCACCAGTTTCTGTTATTGTTGATGCTTCTTCTTGGTCTCAATATAGATTTGGTGTCTAAAATGGTTGCAACTAAATCAATATTTAACTTAATCATGCTGTGGTAGCTGTTGGTTACGATTCCGCTGGTAACTAGATTTTTAAAAACTCTTGGAGTACTGTTTAGGGTGAGCAAGGTTATATTAGACTTGCTCCTAATAATATTTGTGGTATTTTAAGCTATAATTACTAAATTACAGCTTGATTAAACAAAAATTTTTACATTAAATATTTGGATTATATTAAAAATAAGCTAATATAAAGTATTTATAAGCTAAATTAATTATTTTACAATATTCTTAAAGTTTTTTTGATTAATGAAAATAAAATATTTTAAATTGACAAAATATAAATAATTTTAATTCTTTTCAAGTTTTAATACTATTAATTGCTAAAATTTAAATTTAAATATGGACTTTTAAATATTTTATATCAAACATTAAAAGGAATTATTTACAGAAAATATTATATTAAGTATTAAAAAATGTTAATGTTATTTTTAAATATGGTCAAATACCTTTATAAAATCTAGCGATATAGCTTTACTATTTTTTGGAATTATCTATAAATAATACTTTTCAATTATTAAAATTTTTATAATGGATTTGATTTATAATCATATTAATTTAAATCAATCAAAATATTTTGTTTTTCAAAGAATATTTTGCTTCCCAATTATGAAATTCATTTTACAAGCTACAAGATATACTTACAATTTAAATAGTGGGGTAGAATTTTCTATTTACTAATTTAAGGTAAAAATAAATTGTGAAATAAATTAGTATTGAACTTTATTTATGGATGTTTTAGAAATAAGAGTCAGCCCACTTTTATTTGTGCAATTAATTATGTATTGTAATATATTTAATCTGAAAGTAAATAAGAGGTGAAATATCTAATTAAAAATAAATGTAAAAATATTAAATATTTAACCATTAATCAACAAAAATAAAATTAATCAATAAATTATGTTTGGATATACTGATATAGAAAAAATCCGAAATAAAAGCATGGTTAATTAATCATCTTTTATATTAGATAAATAATATCCATTTAAATATGTTTAACTTAAATAAAATAAATAAGTGGTAAATATTTGTTTTTTTGTATTTTAAAATGAGTAATGTTTGATGTTTGTTTGTTTGTTTGTTTGTTTGAAATAAATAGTTAAGACCTTCTCTGCTCACATAATATCTTTTTGATTCATATCTTTGTTACAGTTAATGAAAATAACATATTTATGAATTAAAATAGTCTTACTCTAATTTTCATTAATTTGCAAAGTAACTATTCCTTACGTACAAAAATAGTTTAAAAAATAACTTGATTTTTCAAAGGATGGTTTAAGCAAACTTTATAAGTAACTAAAATAATTTTATAATCGCTATAAAATAAAATAAAATATTTTTTGATTTCTTTATTTGGTGAGTGAAAAAATATATATATGAATTTAGCTATACAAGTTTTGATTTTTTAATCCATTTAAATTAAATCATCAAATCCAACTTATTTGATTATATAATAGAATGAACAATTTTATAAATTTTAATAAGATGATAAGCCTAATATATAATATATTTGTGTAATTATTTAGTAAATTAAAATAACCTTCACAATAATCTTTAAATAATATATTTTATATCTTTCCACTTGTTCAATATCAAAAAGTGTTACACAATTTATATAACTAAAAAAGAATCTTTAGGAAATTAAAAAAAATGTTTGTAATTAGATAATGTAAAAGATATATTCTTAAAATTTATGATCAAAAATAGATTAAAAATGACCAATTTTAGTTTGATGAAATTTAATGAATAAAATTCTATTTAGTGGAAGAAGTTATTTAAATTAAAATCATGATCAAAAACAATGTTTTTACTTACAAATAAATCTTTATTTTTTTAAATTATTAGAAATTAAATTTTGATTCTTCTAGTTAATTATTAAATTTTTATCGTGAATATAAAAATGTTTCATTAAAATTTATCTACTTTTATGTACTATATTTCATTTTATTTTGAAACTTCTAAAGGATTATTTTAAAATATTTTAAGTTGCTACTTTCAAGTACTAATGATACTCAGGCTATTATTATTATTAAAAACACATCTTATTTTTAAATGATATAGATCTTTACCATTAATTTAATTAATTTAGGTGAAATGTGATGAATAAGTGATTTTAAAAAGTAATTAATCTGTTCTCAAAATAGATTATTATAAAAAATTCAAAATCATAAAACTTACACTTAATAATAATGTTTTAGTTAGTGGTGTTTCTTTTGATCTAATTTCCATAAATACCATATATTGAAATAAATATTATGCCACATTTTAACCACAATCATAATAAAAATATGATTATTTTTACCATAATTAAATTCAAAGAATCTTAGCTTTTGAGATTTAGAGCTTCAAAGTTAATATAGATACTTTTGTAAATAAATATCCAAAAGTTATGTCGTATAGATCAGGATAGATAGATAAATAGATAAATAAATACTCATTAAGTCTTTTTAGAAAATTATTAGAATTTGAATGCTTCATTTATTGTTTGTTAGATCAATTAATATTTGAAATTCAAATTTCTACTGGTTTGATTAATAAAAACATAAAATCTCGAAATAAATTGATTCAGGTAGGTATCTTTCTGTATGTTAATTAGCCTGACTTCACTTTAAATTACGAGTTCTCTTTCATGAGAATAATAAATAATAAATAATTAACTAAAAAAACATAAAAAAAAATTATTCTTACTAAAAATGAATTCTAAGTTCATCCTTTTGAGTATTGCTTTGCTTATGCCTATTTATTTAGCTTAAAATGTTTCTATTGAAAAACTACTTGCTTACAATAAGTGGTCAAGCTAAAATTTAAGAACCTTCTTGAGTGAAGAAGAAAAGCTATTTAGACAATTAGTTTTCTTTGAGAACTTACAAAAGGTCAAAGATCACAATAGCCAAGACCATCACACTTACTCTCTTGATATAAACTAATTTTCTGATATGACTGAAGAGGAGTTTGCCGAGAAAGTTCTTATGAAATCTCATGTAGTTGATCTTCACATTTAATAAGCTACCAGTAACAATTCAACTTCCACTGCTTCATCTAATTCTGCAAGCAATAATGCAATAATTACAGTAGACTGGAGAACTAAAGGTGCTTTGACTGCAGTTAAAAACTAAGGATAATGTGGTTCTTGCTGGACATTCTCTGCTGCTGCTTTAATGGAATCTTTTAATTTCATTAAGAATAAAAATTTAACAGATTTTTCTGAATAGTAACTTGTTGATTGTGTCAACTCTGCAAATGGTTACAGTTCTAATGGATGTAATGGAGGATGGCCTGAATCATGCTTAGATTATTCTTCTAAATTCGGTATCACTACCTTAAAAAGCTATCCTTATGTTGGTGTTTAAAAGAAATGTAATATTACTGGAACTAACAATGGTTTTAAGCCTAAATCTTGGAAGCAAATTCCTAATACTTCTAAGGATTTATAAAATGCTTTAAATTTCTCACCAGTTTCTGTTATTGTTGATGCTTCTACTTGGTCTCACTATAGCTCTGGTGTCTACAATGGTTGCAACTAAACCAATATTTAACTTAATCATGCTGTCGTAGCTGTTGGTTATGATTCTCTTGGTAACTGGATTGTTAGAAACTCTTGGAGTACTGCTTGGGGTGAGCAAGGTTATATTAGACTTGCTCCTAATAATACTTGTGGTATTTTAAGCTATAATTACTAAATTACAGCTTGATTAAACAAAAATTTACATTTAGTGTAGGAATTATATAAAAAATAAATTAATATAAAGTATTTATAAGTATTTTTTATTTACAATATCCTTAAAGTTTTATAGATTAATTAAAGTAAAATATTATTATGTTGATAAAATATTAACTTTTCGATGCTTTTTTTAGGTAAAATAAACGGTTTAATTGCTTTTTGAATTTTTTAAATAAAAAATAAAAAAATATTTTCTTAAAAATAAATATTAGTATAGATTTTTAAATATTTTTTATTAAAAATTAATCTTTGGAAAAAAAGTAATATCATATAAACCTTAAACACAATGTATTTTTAAACTGTTATGGTATTTATTAATTTATTCTAAATGTGTCTCATTAAAAATAACAAATATTCGATTTCTAAATTAAAGATTTAGGATAAATAAACAGATTTTTTTTTAGTTTATTTAAATATTTAATATCTTAGTTGTCATAAGAGAACTATATTAAAGTGGTTTTATTTGAAAAATTAAATTATTAAAGAGATTTTATGAGGAAAAAAATAATTTAAATAAGGCAAAACTAAATAAAAATAATTTTATATTAATTTAGTAAATAAAATTAATAATGAAATTTTAGGAGTTCTTATTTTTAATTAAATTATTAATTTTTAATGAAATCATAAATAGTCTAATAAATTTCAATCACTTTTTTCAATAAGCCCTAATTAATCAGAAAAAGTAGAATATGGATAATTTACTATTATATTAAAAATATAATATTAAATTGATCTATTTTATAACTTCTAATTAGAGTAAATAAATATTGAAGTAAAATTTTAATTTTTTTCAGTAACTTGAATTCTTTATATAAAATTGTCATAAAACCCATTCAAATTTTAAAAAAATAAGATTTTGCTTTTATCAAAATCTCTATATTTAGTAATTAATTATTTGCATATTGATAGGTTAAAAGAATAGCAATCAAGATTTAAGTTTAAAGCAGCGAAACAAGTTTTTACTTTAAATTAGTGAAAGGAGAAAGATATGTAGTTATAGATATTTGGCAATGCTGCTAAAATTAGCTAGAAAAAGCTAATTTTATTGGAATTTCATAAATATGTATCAATATTATTTGGAAAATTTAGCAATATCAATTATGCTACAGATTACAAAAGATTAGGTGGTGATAAAAATTAAAGAATGAATAAGCTGGATAAGTGTATGACATAAAAGCTGTAAGTCTTTAGATTACAACTTGATAGGTAGCTAATTAGTTATAAGTGTCATGAAATACAGTAATAAATTCCATTTATGAAAAGAATTATCATATCATATACCAAAAAAAAATTCCTTAACTTTATTCCAACCTCATTTAAAAACGTTATCAACATTCAAAATATCTCTAAGGTAGACTAGGTAATAGGAAATCAAATATGTTTTTAAATTTTCAGGTAAAACTTTTAAATTTTCATTTTGGTAATTCAAAATGTATTGAAAAATAACCTCTCTTCTCATAATCAAAACCTCAATCAAATAATCATAATTTATAATCTAAAACTTAAATTTAATTAGAAAAATCATAATTTGAAAATAATTCTAATCGAATTATGGTATTTATTTTTGGAAATACATGTATTAATTTAGTTTAATTTAAATATATTTCAATTAATAAAAATTCTTTGATAAAATTAAAAAGGTTAAGCCATTTAGCTTTATAAAAAACCACATATTTCAAACAAAATTAATACTACCTAATATTGTCCATTCCATTAATTAATTGACAAGAAAAGTATTTTATCTCAAAAAAATTAAAAGTAATAAATATCTCAAAAATAATACTTTGATAGCTAATTTTTTCACTTTAAAAAGGAAGAATATTTAGATTGCAATAACAAAATAATATCATAAATTAAAAAACAAAATTAAGAAAAAGAATTGGAAAATAAATAAAAATAAATGTCTTTGTTTAGTAATTGCTTGACAGTTAAAAAGTGTAATATTCATCCTGAATATAATGTATAGTTTACATTATTAAAAAAAACTGAGTCTAATTAGGCTTTTTATTGCTCTTTATGCTTGCTCTAATAAAATATTGACAGCAAATTGTTAATATCGATTGATAATGTTGTTAAATAAGTAAATACTGAGCCTATATTCAACTGGCCTTTAGGTATTAGTAAAACTATTACTGAATATCTGCAAGATAAATCTTCAGTGAATAAGAAGGAGCAACTCAAATAAAAAATTGAAGATTATTACAAAGATTTGGAACAACAATTTCTTAAATAGCTATCAGAATCTAAATAATAAACTCTCTAAGATCTTGAAAATTAATCTGCCTTAGAAACTGATATAATAAATGTTTATAACTACTATTTCAGAAGAACTAATTTAATAAATTTGTTAAGTAATAATGTATCAAACGATGAGGAATATTGGAATATTTTAAATCAAGTGGATGAATAAAAGGAATAAATCTTCAAAGAATTAGAAGAAAAGATAAAATAAATAAAATATATTTAATAATAACTTGAAAAGGGTGTACCTTATAGGATTAAATAAAACATAAATTAGCTTATAAAAAATATTTAATTTTTTGATAGCTCAGTCAAAACTCCAGAAAAAAGTGAATAAAATAATAATTAATTATCAGAACTCAACAATAATTTTGATTTAACTACTCATGATAATATTTTATATTGTATTTTACATGAGCCTATTAATAAGAGTTTATTAAGTAAGATTTTATAAGAAAAAAATAAAGAATATTAAACTATTAAATCTGATATTGAAAAATTAATTAAAGAATAGTTACCAGCAACACAAAGTTTAATGTTGACAAATTTATCACAATTAATTGATCAAATTTAAGAAAAATTGGTATCATTTGAGTGCCTACGATATTAAGAATTCAACCTTTTAGATTGCAAAAAGTAAGATGAAAGGTCGAAGATAGTAAAAGTTATTCTACAATAATATTTAACTTTGAATGAATAACAATAATTGGCAATTAAGTAAGATATTAATTCATTTTCAAAGAAAAATGTTTTTATGGAATTTTTAGACCAAAAAAAAAAAGCTGAAATACCCTAAAATCAGTTTAGAAATTAATTAGGAGGTTTGTTCTAAAATGCAAATTAAAAATAATAAACAAGTCTTTTTGGAGGAATAAATAATCTTCCTACCACTCAGACTGAACCTAAAGTTGAAAATAAAACAAGTTTATTTGGCTTTTCAAAAATCGTCATTTGAAATTAGTTAAATTTAGCAAATACCAAGCAATTAAGCAATAGTTAATAAATAACAAATTTGATTAAAAATGATATTCTTATATCTATCTATATCTTATTTAATGTATTTTTTTGAGATTATCAAAGTAAACTGTTGATAAACTTTTATTTTTTTAATATTTAATTCATTTTTTTAACATAATTCTAATCTAATTATGGTTTTTATTTTCTAGAAATTTACATTGTATTAATTAATTTAGCTTAATTTAAATATATTTCTATTAATAGAAATTTTTTAATCCATTTGGCTTTATAAAAATGCCACATATTTCAAACAAAATTAGTTTTTAATAAATTTATATCTACCTATTACTTTACATCAGATTTACTTAATTAAGAAGAAAAGTATTTTATCTCAAAAATTCAAAAATATCTAAAAATAATACTTTGATAGATAATAATTTCACTTTAAAAAGTAAGAACATTTTGATTCTAGTAATCAATAAAATCATAGTAAAAATAAAATTAAGAAAAAGAGGAGGAAAATAAAAATAAAGGTCTATGCTTAGTAATTGCTTGACAAATAAAAAGTGTAATGTTCATCCTGAAAATAATGCATAGTTTGCATTAATGAAAAAATCAGAGTCTAATTAAGCTTTTTATTGCTCTTTATGTTTGCTCTAATAAAATATTGACATCAAATTGTTATTATCTATTGATGATGCTCTTAAAAAAACAGATACTGAGTATATATTCAACTGGCCTTTAGGTATTAATACAACTATTACTGAATATCTGTAAGATAAATCTTCATTGAATAAGAAGGAGTAACTCAAATAAAAAATTATAGAATATTACTAAGATTTGGAACAACAATTTGTGAAATAATTATCAGAATCTAAATAATAAACTCTCTAAGATCTTGAAAATAATTCTGCCTTAAAAACTGATATCATAAATACTTACAACTTATATTTCTATAGAATTAATTTAATACATTTGTTAAGTAATAGTAAATCAAACAATCAGGAATATTGGAATATTTTAAATCTAGTGGATGAATAAAAGGAATAAATATTCAAAGAATTAGAAGAAAAGATAAAACAAATAAAATATATTGAATATTAAATAGAAGAGGGTGTTCCATATAAGATTAAATAAAACATAAATTAGCTTATAAAAAAAATTTAATTTTTCGATTGCTCACTCAATAACACAAAAAAAAGTAAAAAAGATAAAAATTCAATATCAGTAATTCTCGATAAGAATATTAACTAAATGGCTCATAATGATATTTTTGATTGTATGTTACACGAGCCTGTTAATAATAGTTTAATATTTTAAAATTTATTATAAAAAAATAAAGAATATTAATAAATTAAAACTTCTATTGAATAAATCATTAAAGACTAGGAAAGATAGGTATTTTTACAATAATACATAGATCAAATTTAAGAAAAATTGATATCATTTGAGTGTCTACGAGTTTAAGAATTTAACCTATTAGATTTCTAATAGTAAAATACAAGATCGAAGATAGTAAAAACTATTCTTCATCAATATTACACTTTGAGCTAATAGCAATAATTTGAAATTCAGTTAAAAATGAATTCATTATCATAGAGAAATGTTTTTATAGAATTTTTAAATCAAAAAAAAACTGAAATACCCTAAATTCCAAGTAAAAGCTAATAAGGAAATATTTTTGAAAATTTAACTTAATAAAAAAATACAAATTTGTTTGAAGTAAAAAATAATGTTCCTATCACTCCTACTCCTACTGAAACTAAATTTGAAAATAAACAAAATATTTAAGGTAAAAATTAATCATTATTTGGTGAGAGTAAAATTTAGCAAACACCAAGTAATTAAAGCAATTAAGCAAAAGTAATTAAATAGCGAATTTGATTAAAAATAATATTCATATATATATCTACCTATATCTTATTTAATGTATTCTTTTGAGATTATAAAGTAAACTGTAGAGAAACTTTTATTTTTTTAATATTTTAAAAATGAAAAAATTTATAAAAAAATTTTTGTTTGTATTTAAAAGCAAATGTTAAAAGCCTAACATAAAATATTTTATCTTTATGATTTAAAACTTTAAATTTTCAATTTTATTTAATTTAAATTTAAAAAATTTTATGTGTAACTATTTTTTAATAATTTCAGAAACTGTGAATAATATTTTAATATTAAATTTTATTCAGTAAAAAAGCTAATATAATTCAACAAAAATTTAAAAATATTTTTAAAAATTATAATTTATTTTATTTCATTAATAAGTTGTCTAGAAAAATTAGTATCTTTAAATTAAAAAGATGTTGTTTGATAATTAATTAATTAAATTGAATAGATAATCGAACAGAAACATAACTAATCAAAAAAATGTTAATATGTGGAATAATAGAATACTAGGTGGAAAAATAAAGAAAGACTCTTCATATAAGTTTAAATAAGAATAGGGAGGGAGGTTGGGAGGAAGAAAATCAATTTTAAATTAAAATGGATAAAGAGATTGAACAACAAATGTTATTCAAAACATATCTTATTGATTAGAAGAAAAATTAAGTAAAAAAAAAAAGGAAAAATAAAATTGAAATGTGAGATATTCGATGCAAATAAATAATTAGATAAATTATCCTAATATCAATAATAAATAATTCAAAAAATTAAAATAAAAGTAATTTAAATAAAAAAGTAAAATCTTAATTAAAAATAAATGGGTGATAACTAGAAGAGACACTTTACCAATAAATATTATGAAAATAAAGAACCTAAGTTCAACTACTTACACAAAAAAGTTAGAGAATACACTGTTGACAACAATGGTAAGGAAGTGCCTGAATAATCTGGATAGAATGAATATAAGGTGACATCCAGATAATCAACAATGATTATTAAGAAAATTGCTTAAGATAGCGAGTAATAAAAAAATCAAAATAACTTCCCCGTCACTTTAAGTGCTATTGGTTATGCTGTTAATCATGCATTTTAAATTTTATAGGCCTACAAATAAACTAACTCTGTTGTTGGTGATGTCAAAATTTAGATGTCAACTCTTATTATGGAGTTTGAAGCAGAACCTCTCGTTGAAGGTTTAGAAAAATTGGATTACAAAACTGTAAACGGTAAGATTACCATTCAATTCACTTTGAATATTTAAAACAATGAAGAAAATGAGAGAAAATTAAACAGTATCCACATCTCTAACAGAGTATCTAGAAATAGAGGATACAACAAGGGCTAAAGAGTATCTAGAAAAAGAAATTATAAAAATAATTAAAAGCCATATAAGCCATAAAGCAAAAAAAGAGGTTTTCGTAGCAATGGCAATGGTAACCAAGAAACAAATCAAGAAAATGGTTATGATTAAAATAAAAATCAACATCAACATCCTCACAATCATTAAAACAAATCAAATTAAGACAATCAGCAATAAAATAAGGGCGAAAGAGGAAATAGAAGAAATGATCGTACTAAAGTCAATTAAGGCAAAAAACCTAATTTTTAACCTAAGTAAAGAGATAACCAAAACAAAAGAAACTAATAATAGTAATAGTAATAATAATAATAATAATAGACTCCTTAGTGATGGAATCAAAGAAGCAGGATGAATAATTTTTTTTAATGATGTCTTTACTTAAAACAATTTGATTATTTAAGATATTTATGTAGAAATAAACCCAAATCTGCTTTTATTTATAAATAAAAACTTTATCTTGTTAGTTAATTAAAATTTAAAATATTTTTAATAAAGTTAATCGCATCTATTTTTCCTCTATTTTTTTCTTAGATTGAAAGAAATTTTATTTGTTAACATTTATTTCTCAAAATAAAAGCATTCAATAAATTAATTAATTAAAAAAATAAAAAGAATCAAACATTTATTTTTAAATAGAACTTTTATTTTTATTTTTCCAAATAAGCTAGATTTCTATTTTTCAGATTGATAGATGTTGTCTGTCTGTCTTTTTTAATTGAAAAAATTTTACAGCAAAAAATATCTCTATAATTAATTATTACAAACAAAAAAATCAAAAAAACACAAAATTAAAAACAATATCAAAAAATTATAATAAAATAGAATAATAAAATTTTTTTAATTCACGGATTAAAAGCTTTATTGCCTTGAAAAATCAGTCATGCATTTGTGTTTAGATGGTAATTCCAACTAACATATAATCAAAGCAAAAGCTTTAGCCATTCCTTTAGAACATAAATATTATTTTTTATTAAATATTTTGATTATTGTAAATAAATTTGCTAATCAAACAATTTCTTATAAATAAATAAACTAGGATTAATTATCATATAATAATATCTTTTTCTCAAATTTTTAGGTTTATTATCTAATAATTATGCTAATATTTTAACTATGCTATTACATTATTAATTCCCTTAGTCTTTAAAGCCGCCATATAAAACATATAAATAAAAATAAATAACAAATATTAATAAAAATAAAAAGTAAATAAATAAATAAAATAAAAACACCTCAAAAAAATAGAAAAATAAAAATTAAATACAAAAAATAAGTAAATTAAGAAAGAAAAATTTTAACTTTGAAATACAATCAATTATATGTTTACATAGCAATCAATTTTTTCTACTGTTTAAATTCAATATTTTAATTTTTATTTTACTTCAAAAGTTTAAAATTTAATGGTTGAATAACTATTTTCATATATAATTTATTTATTCTATTTTAGCTTAAAAAAATAAATAGAAATACAGATAAGCAGATAGATATACTGATAAACAGATATAACATCATTTAAATATATTGAATTTAAAAAATAAATTTTTTAGATTTAAATATAAATTGTAGAAATGAATGAATGAATGAAATATGTACATAAATTTAAAACAATAAAAAATGAGTGTGCAACAAATCAAAAAATGCAAACGAAAATAATTATTTATTATAAATTAATGGCGATTAAAGTGTTTTAAACATAATTTGAGAATATACTATCTGTTTTGCAAAAATAAATAAGCGATCTTATTTAATTTATAATAAAGACTTAGAGAATATGTATGCTATAAATATTTATTTATTATTAAATTGGTTTATTGATTGATTGATTTTAATTGCCTTTTGATTGATTGATTGATTGATTAATCACACATTCAAATTCTTTATATTAATAAATTAATTTCAGTTATATCTATTTATTTATTATTTATTAATCAATCTATTATTTATTTATCTATCTATCTATCTAAAAAATAAGTGAAAAGATGGTTGGTTTGATTTAATTTGATATACTTGCTAAAATTGTAATTGAATTATTTGAATAGGAAAACAAATAAAATATTTTATATGTCACACTAATTTTATTATTTAACTATTCAAATGTCTTTTAGATTATTGCATTTTCAGCTAATTTTTCAATATCCTCCATACCCATCATCTTCTTTTTCGGGCATTTTAACTTTCTTACGCTCAGCTTCAAGTTTTTTTCTTTCTGCAAAATCACGCTTACGTTGTTTATCAAGGAATTCCTTTAAAGTTATCGATTTCTCTTCTCCCTAGGCATTTTTTTCTTCCTTTCCAAAGATTTCTTCAATTTCGTAGTCAAGGTTTTAACGACCGAAGCGCACATAAAGAAGTTCTAAAGTATCTTCCACAGTAATTGTTTTCTTTTGGTGGCTTTATTCGTTGTTAGCAACTGCTGTGTTGGCTCCTGAAGAAGAATTAACATTAGTGTCACTCTTTAAATACATTAAGAATTACACTAAATTATATAAATTACGAGGTTCTAAACCAGTTTTATCATAACGACATCTTCTGTACATCAAATTGAATTCATAGCTATTTACTTTATTATCAAGATTCTCATCGACTTCCCAAATCATCTACTCAATCTCTGCCTTTGTTGCAACATACCCAAGATCATGGAGAATTATAGCAACATCCTTGGCAGTGAAGTAATCTTTGCCTTCACTTCCTTCTTTTTTATTTGCATTATTGTCTTTTGTAGTACTTTGGTTATTATCTTTAATTTATGCACTACTAATGTTGTTATTGCTGTTGTTAAAATTATCTTTGGATGAGGTATTACCGCCTTGTCCATAAGTTTCACTTGCCATTCTAAGTTGATCAAAAACCTTTGCCAAACGAGCAATTTCAACTTATTGAATCTCTAATGCCATAATTTCTTCTTCACTTGATTTCTCTGTTTTTTTAAGATTCTTAGAAGCGTTTGCAGTTTATCCCATTACTGAAGGCTTTTTCATAGTACTAGCAGCATTTAGAGTATTTCCTTATTTGCTTTGGTTCATGTTACTTGCTGTATTTCCATACTTACTTTTATCCATTTCTTTTATACTTTTAATATTCTACTACTCTTGTATTACTTTCTTTATTTAGGATTCTTTTTGACCAATCAGCCTTAAGTTAAAGCTCTCTTTTTATTTATATTCCTTCTTTTTTACAGATATTTTTATTGAATCTCTTTTATTCTTGTTTCTTTCAAAATTTATATTAAAAATGTAAAATTTTTTGTATTTGTTAGGATATAATTCAACTTATTAATCAATATTCTTAAAATCATTTGGATGTTTTATTTTTCAACTGCAATTCATTCATTCATTCATTTATTCATTCAATCAATCAATAAATCAATCCTATACAGATAGATAAATTATTAATAAATAAATAGATTGCTTGTTCTTCATCCATTTTCCTTCGTTCTTCTGCATTCAATTAATATAATTGATAAATATATATTTTTTATTCAATAATTTTCCATCTTTTAAATGTTTGCTTTCAAAAATAAGCAAAATCTAAATTTAATAAAGAATTATTTTAATATTTTTAATTTTAAATGTTTGAAATTTCTTATCTTATTAAAATAATTATTTTACTCACGAGAATATTAATTTGACCCATTCTCCTTTTAAAAATCTTTGCTTTATTAAATCAATATTAGCTAGGATTTCAAATTTAAAATATTAAAGTTTCATTTTTGTATTAAATTAAAAAAATAGCCATTAAAGATTAAAAAATTTTAAATACAGAATTATTTGTAATTTACTTTTTCATAATAGATATTTATAAGCTTTAAAATAAATAAATGTTTTTATTATATAAATTTTCTTAAATTTTTAAATATATGTTTTATAATTCACACTCATTTTATCAAAATAAATTAACTCTAAAATTTTATAAAAACATGAGTCTTAATTATTAGTTAAAAAAAGAATTAGTGTGATTCTGTGTTTGTCTTACTATTATCTAATATTTAATTTAAAGTTATTAAATCACTGTTTTAATTTTTTAGATTGTATATTTTTGAAATTAACAACAGTTTTTTTAATTTATAATATAAAATAAATATTTTAATTTCAAAAATATTTTGTTTTTTACTTCTTTTTATTATTAAAGCTATTTATAAAATATGAGTTTTTTGATTAAAGTAGTTTTTTTCTCATTTAATACAAAGTTGATCTAAAATTAGCAGTATTTTATTTAATTTTTAAATCTAAAAAGGATAATGTTAAATTATATTGATTATATTACACTTTTTCTAGTAATATAGAAGATATTTTAATAAATTTACAAAAATTTTACAAGAATTCTTAGTAAATTTTAATGTGCATAAGAAATGTTAGTATTTGAAATAAAAATTAGATTATATATTTAAAGAGTAATTGATGCAAAAAATAAATAGATTATTTCAGATTTGTTTTGATTAAGGAAAATAATAATCTGGAATATATAAATAAATTCAAGCAAATAAATGTATTTTGTAAATATTTAGTTTGCTAAAATGCATCTATCACAAAGCTAGCTTTCAAAAATATTACAATTTCTACTTTTTTAATGTATGATAATAATTAAATTTAGAAAAAAAGAGACAATCATAGCCTTTTCTATATCTAAATATTATCAAAAATATAAACTAATTGATAGATCTTTACTTTCATAAATCAAAAACATAATATTTATAAAAGGATAAAATAATTTTAGATTTAAAAATGTGTACTATTGAAAAATTAGTTACTCTAACTTATAGTACTAATGATCTCTCAACTACAGTGTAGATTTGTTATTCATTTCAGCTCATAATTTAGCATTAATTTTGTTTATTTTTATTTAAAAGGTCAAATTCAATGTAATCTTTGAGAGATACGATGAATTTTACTACCAAATCTATTCTTAAAAATAAATGTAATTATTTTCCTCCTTTTTTATGTATTTATTTTGCATTTAACTTAAAAAATTCTGTTGTCAGAAACATATGTCGTTAAATTTGCTAAATTGTTATTTAAAATTTAACTAATAAGTGAGTGCGAAGAAAGGAGGTGAAATAAAATCTTCTATTGAGCTTGAGTACACTTAACTTAACTATGATGAGAATTTTAGAGCTCATGGTGCAAAAATATTTGAGATATTGAAAAATAATCCTTATTTAAATGAAAAATACGCAAACTTTGAATTTATAGCAGCAGGAGGTTTTGGTTTGGTTTTTAAGGCTAAAAAGAAAGTTAATAACAATAAACCAAACAAAATTTATGAAGAGAGAGAATTAGCTAAATATATTGCCTTTAAATTTATGCTTAATGACTTAAATGCAAAAAGAGAGATTGCAATCATGAAAAAGCTATTTTAGATGAGCACAAAACTGTTAATGGCAAGAAATATACAAGTATTTAGGAGATATGAAATAGTTACTAAGGAGAATGGGACTAATTAAAATGCTTGTAGGATTATAAACAGTGATAGCTTTTTTGAAAATAGTCCTAAATTGGTTTAGTCAGCTTCGGAAGGCACAAAAGACAAAATACCCTATGTTATGGTAGAAATGAGCAAGGCTACATTTTCAGTAGATGCTGCTATTTCATATAGAAAAAAGAATAAAAAGCCTTATTTTATTTATGAAATAAATAAAATCATCAGTAACGTTTTAGAATGTTTGTTCATTATGCATATTTAAGGTATTGCTCATTTAGATGTTAAGCCACAAAATATCCTATTTGTAGATGAATTAAATAGGTAATCAATCAATCAATCAATTTTAATTTCAAGTTTACACTTTTTTGTTTATTAATAAGTAATCCCTTTTCTATTCTAATTATTTAGATATACGTTAGCTGATTTTGGGTGCAGCCTAGAATTAAATTCAATTGATTTCGAAAATTATTAGCTAGCTACTGAAGAAATTGTTGGGTTTACTCCTTAGTATACAGATCCAAATATTCTAGAAAAAGAATTTTTTAATCCTTTCAAAGCTGACATTTGGAGTGTTGGTGTCATTCTGCTTGAGCTTCTTTCAGTTGGATAAGATTTTGATTTAGTATAAATTTTAAAAACATGTAAGAGCAGTCAAGATGTTGAAGAGAAAATATTCAAAAAATATATCTTTAATAGTAATGGTGAGATGATTTACTGTCCTATGTTAAAAAACTTTGTTGAAATTGACAACTAATTAAAGATGTACTTATAATGGGATGAGAATCAGAGATGGAACATCATAGAAATTTTAATAGAAATATAAAATAGTATCTTAGTTTAGCCATTTTATATCCCCTTTAACAATTCTATCACAACTAAAAAGTTATTCTCCTTTTTGTCAGATGAATAACCCCATTAGTAATCATCTCCTCTTATTTAACAAGAAGGATAAAATAATTCAAAAATTAATGAAAAAGAATGTCCTTACCTTAAGAGGTAGCAATAAATTCAGCAATAAAATTACTTTCTTTCAGAATGTGAGCTTGTATAAGGATGGAAATACAGGGGTTTTGTTTGGTCTAATTATAATTTACAATAAACAGGATTATACTTTTCTTAAAAAAATATACTTAAAAATGGAAAGGGAACCATTTCTAATATGCAAAATAGGCTTGTATTTTAAGGTAATTTTGATCGAGATTTACCAATCGGAAAGGGTACATATGTTTTGAGTAATTTTTGTGACAGAAAAGCTTAATTCACAGGTATACCGAGTATAGACTAGATACTGGTAAAACATGGAGATTAATCACTTAATGATGTAGAAAAAATTGTTTATGAGGGAGAATTTGATAGTGGATAAATAAGTGGTGGATTAATTACATATACAAATACTGATAAAGGTACAACTTATCTATTAAACAGATCCTTTAGATGTAAAGAAGTGGTAAAAAATTATCAAAAAGGAAAGATTGTTTCTGTTTTAGATTTAAATTCCAAGCATATTTCAATAAATTTAAAATGCTTTAGATAAAGTATTTTTGATAAAATTTTTTATGTATCAACTAGAATATATCCATTTACAAATTATAAGTCTATAATATTTAAATAAAATGATACAATCAGTAGTGTTATGCAAAAAATTAAGTCGAGAATAATAGATACAGATACCAAATTTATTTAAAGATTATAAACTGGAAATGGTTATAACTTTTATTTTGAGCAATCTGTAATCATTTATTCATATTTTTTAAGTATTTTTAATTACAAAGAAAAATTTGTCAAATAAACAATTATACAAGACACTACATCATAATATACAATATATGATATATTCTTACTTTTTGAGTAACAAGTTGTTGAGTAAATTATGAGTACCATGTAGTACATTAAGCGCATTAAGCAAAAAGGCAGAATTTCACATGATCAAATGTGTTTAAACGATTTCTATAAAAAGTACAAAGGGCTTCTTAATAATTTGGAGTAATTCTGTGATAATAGAGATGTTGACTCGTAAAACTTCTAATAATTTGGATTAAATAAGTAAATTAAATCATTTGGCCTTAATTGCACTTCATATGTAACAGAAAAAGAACAACTAAACATCGATAAGAGAAAAGGTTATTTAATTTTTTATTTTTATAATTGCAGTCGTTTCTCATATATTAATTAATCCTCCATTTAATTAATATAAAAATCGAATTTATTTTTAAAATAAACATAATTTCTCAATATTTAAAATTTGGAAAAGGTATTTTGTTAAATTTATGGGACAATAATTTTTTAATATGGTTAAAAAATTAAAAGACGATTTTTTAGAAGTATTTGAGAATTTATGTTAATAGAAATTTTATATTAAATTTATTTTATTTTCTTTTTTTTATTTGTTTTAATTATTTTATAGTCGCTAATGACTAATAAGTTTTTGAATATTTGGAGCTTAAGAATATGAAAAGACTGGGAATGTAATTTGTAACTGATAATTACTTTGAGAAGTACCTAAATAAAAGCTTTAATACGTTAGAATATTTAAATATTTCTTTTTATTCTAATGATGTTAAAGCAGACTTTTCTTGTTTAAAAAGTTTGTAAGTGCTTAGTAAATTCAAGGTTTTTAAAGCTTCTCCATAATAGATTAAATAGATATTTGAAAATTTAAACTTAAAAAACTTAAAAACAATCCATCTTCAGAGATAATGTGAGTATGATCAATCAGCTATAGATACTATTTCCTAACAAGATTATTCTTTTGTCTAAAACTTTAAATTTATAAACTATAACTCAAATTAAGGAAAATGGTTTGAATGTATAATAAATAGAAATAATTCTTTTAGAAACTTAAAAAAGCTCTGTGTAAAAACATGTAATTTACTTCAAAAATTTCAATAAGATATTCTTTATAAATTAAACAATTTTAACTAAATAAATATTAAAAAGATATTTCAAAACTCAGCTGTACCTTAATTTCACAGAAGCTAAAAAACATAGAAACTCTTAAACTTTGCTACTGCTAGATCAACGATGAATCAATCTCAGAGCTAAAGTAACTATTTAAAGTTACTTCTTTAAACTTAAGTTCAAATGAAATCACAGACGAAGGAACAAAATATTTGTTTGAAAATATGCCTAACGTTAAAAACTTAAAATTGAATGGTAGCTAAAATATAAGTTTTAAAGGGCTTTATTTGCTATCATCTAATATGAAGCATTTAGAGGAGATTGAGTTTAAAAATAATCTCCCTCACTTCAATTATTTTTAATTCCATACAGAAAAATGCAAGAAGTCTCTTTTGCAAGAAAAGGAAAAATCTGGAGGAATAGCCTTTATTGAATCTTTGTATGAGCTAAAGAATTTACAGAACTTGAGATTGGCTTAAATGTATGAAGAATGCTTCTACGGAGAAAATCATTTCGTAAGGAATAAGCCATACAGTCCAGAATTTATTAAAAGTCTGGCAGTGCTTAGACTAAATGAATTGGATTTAAGTGATATTTAAGAAGATTATTTAAGGCATTTTTTGTTAGCAAAGGGAGTTTCAAATGCCAACAAATTAGTTCTTAATCCCAAAATTAATTAAATATCTGATGAAATAGCTTTGGCTTTAATTAGTGGAAGCTTTAATCAGCTCTAACATCTCTCTCTGTCTAATTGCTACAATTTATCATCTAAAACCATACAAGTTTTACTATAAAATAGAGATATATAAAAAACTATCAAAGAGCTTTATCTTAACAATACGGAATTTGATGATGATTGCTCCGATTATTTAATAAACTTTTTACACCTTTTTCCTAAATTAGAGATTCTCTCAGTTAAAAATTGTATTGATATCTCGGAGGCTTCGTTATAAAAGCTACAGAAAAAATTACAATAAAACAAAATATCTCTCATTTACTGATTTTTCCAAATCATAAAAATTTATCTTTTGTAAATATAAAATTAAACTCAAAAATTATTTTAAATTTCAATCAATCAAGCAAGTAAATTAAATATTTTTATTTTTAGTTAAAATAAAATATTAATTAATATAATAGAAATGGATTATATATTTTTTTTATATTTTAAATGTAATTTTATTCTGTAATTTTAAATAGAGATAATTTATTATTTTAACTAAATAAAATATTTTTTTTTTAATTTATATAAAAAATGAAAAATAAATTAAAATTTTTAATATTAAATAAATAAAAATTATTTTCTTAAACTAAACAAAAATAAATAACAACTTTTACTAAATTTTATTTAAGAAAAATATATTATTTTCAACACTGATTGATATAAAAACGATTTCTAATTTTAATTATCATTTTATAAATTTGAATGTTGCTGTTAAACTTAGATGATCACCTGAGAAAGTCTAATTTGGAAGACCATTTGGCCCAATTTAATCTTAAGTTGGTAAATTTTTAATTGAGAGAAGTTCTATGCTGTTTTGAGTATAGAAGATATAATCTATCATTCTAATTTAAACATCATTTGGTTCTCTAACTTTATAGGTTGTAAATGTTAATCCCTTATCTTCATATGCACTCTTTAAGAAGCCTTGTTATTTTATTTTTTAGATGCAAGAGTAAGTAGGTTCAGCATTAAAATCACCAGCAATTAATATAGGAATATCTTTGCTATAATCTTATTAAATTTTTTAAATATGCTCTAAAATTTATTCAACTTATAAAAGCCTAATATCTTCAAACTATTTTTTCGCTTTCAAGTGAGTGACTAGAAGTAAGAATTATTTATCAATCTACTTATCTAAGATAATCAAACTCCAATAGGATTAGTTCATATCTTTTTTTCCATCTCCAGATTTATATTAAATTGCTTAATGTTTTAAAATTTAAAATTTTTATTTACTGATGGCTACAAGTTAGCCATCTTCGCCTTCAGGTTTTTTATGAAAAACTATTTCATGAGTTTAATCCAAAAAAGATGAAAAAAATACAGGATGATCAACTTCCTCTAAGCAAATAATATCTGCATTTGCTTCATTTAATAAATGATTCTTTATATTTTAACTTCTATAATCCCATTTTAAATATTATAAATCGCACTTAGGAAATGAATCAGAAAGAGAATCAGCCAAAGTATTCCATTAAGATATGGTAAAAACCCCTGGCATATTGATTTATTAGAAATAGCTATTCATAAAATATTTATATATATTCTAAATAAAAAATATTAATATGTTTATCTTTATCTTTAAGGCTTTTCTAATTATCCAAAAATTAAATATAAGTTAATTTCAAAAACGATAATATCTAAATAAAACCAACCTATACAATAAGGATAATATTATAAATATGTAAATTTTGTTAGTATAAATTAGATAAAATTCAAAAAAAAATTTTTGAAAAAAAAGTTAATAATAAATTCATTAACAAAAAATTAAATAAATTTTAATAAAAATTATTTCTTTTAAGTGTTCCAGTAAATAGCATAATAATATTTTAATTTATTTTTCTATTAATATTTTATTTTTAAATTATGATTAATTAACTATTTGTGAAAACAATTAATTATATGAATGAAATTTTAAAGAAAAATAGAATAGTTAAAATGATTTATTTGAGATCTTTATTTCTTAAAATTTTGTTATTTTTTAATTAATTAAAGTTTTTTCTAATAGATTTTGATTTTAAGCACTGCAAAACTTGTCAAACTAAGCAACCTTTATAAATTGAATGATCACTCATTAAAAATTTTCAAAAGTTTTAATCCAAAATTTGACTTTTTCATTATAAAATCCATCAATAAACTCAATAAACTAGACACCAAAATAATTGGGCAAATTTTTCACTTTTAATCTTGTAGCGCAAAGTAAAGAAATTTTCCATTTTGTAATGAATTTTATTATTTTATTTGATTTTTTTTAATTTTTTGTTTATTTTAATATAATTGAAAAATAAAATATATCTATTTCTATTTTAAAATGAAAATAGAAAAAATAATTTTTATTATTATTTAATTTAAAATAAAAATTTTTATTAATAAACAATAAATAAAATATTAATGACTTACTTAAATAGATACTTTAATCAGATACCTTTAAACATTTTTAATCATATCTAAACTATTTATGAAAAAATGATAATTAATCTTCCACTTTTGTTCATATTTCAAATTAAACAAAATAATATTAAAATAAAATTCTGATTTTTATATTTTTATTCTCAACCAGAGTTTAGAAAAAAGTTTTAAGTTTTTCTAAAATATAGATAGATATGAAAGTTAAAATTGAGATGAGAAAATTAATTTTATTCGGTCAAATTAATTTACCAAAAATAAAATTTATTAATTATTTTATATATTAGGTAGCCGCAAGAGTTAGCTGTTTAATTTAAATTAAAATATTAAATAAATAATCAAAATTCATCAATATCTTTGAAGAATATTTAATTATTTCTGAACTAAATTAGGAATAAAGCAATTACCAAAATTAAAAATGTATCATAATACTTAGAAAAAGGTAATGCCAAGTTATATTTAGTCTCATAAATTACTAGTAAATAGTATTTAAATAAAAATACTATTAAACAATCAAATAAAGTCTTTTAGTAAAAATAAAAAAACTAAAATAAATTTTAATAGGTCTATACTATCTACATTCATACTTATTAAATTTTAAATTTAGATTTCATTAAAAAAATATAATATATGAAATGAATTAAAATAATATCAATAAAATGGAGCCATTTTATATTTTAAAGAACAAATAAATGATTAAATTTTATAAAAGATTAAATGATTAATTATACAATACGATCTTCTTAAAATATGTAAACATACAATTTGTACTAGAAGGTTTAATAGCAATTTATTAATTTTATGAAAATAAAACTTATTTATTCTTCATTACTATTCAAACAAGTTACAGCTTAAAATTAACCAAAATATTTTGTTTTTTTTTAATCTTTTTTAGTCAAACTTTTTTGTAAAATACAAATTTATTATCGAATTTGTATTGTAATTCGAGCTAATCTATTATATAAATATTTTAGATTTCAAGAATATGTTTTTTTTAAAAATGATGCATTATTATTTTTTACAATTGAAATGAGTTACAGCTTAAAAGAAACCAAATTATTTCGATTTTTTTTAGCTGATTAATCAAATTTATTTCATAATAATAAATAATTATTATCGAATTTGTATTGTAATTCGAGTTAATATATTATATAAATAAACTTTAAAATTACTGTTTTTTAAATGAAAATGATAAAATAGAATTAGTCGGGGGATAAAATCATTTCAAAATCGATACATGATTTTGTTTATTTAATGATAATTTGATATTTTAAAACATTTCTCATTTTTGAAAAACTTTTTGATTTTTGTTATTAAAGAAAAATGTGCTTAAGAAATAAGAAAATATTGTAATTCGAGCAAATCTATTATATTAAATTTCAGCATTATATTTTTTATAGAAAAAAAGATAAAATAGAATTAACTAGCTTATAAAATGATTCTTGAAGCTTTTTTTACATGATTTGGTTAATTTAATGGGATTGCTTTGAACATATCTAATTTAAAAAAATTTTTGATTCTCTCTTTTTAGAATAAGAAAGAAATAAAGAAAATATTAAATTAAAAAAGGAATATTTATTTTTGTATTTAAATTTTTATTATAAAAACCTATTTTCTACTATCTAAATAATATTTATGATAATTAAAAAGGTTTTTAATTTGGCGAAATCATTTTAAAAATTGATAAGTAACTCACTCATTCAAAATTTATTGACATATAAGCTTTTACAGTTTACATTGATTTATTAACTTTAACAGCTTACATTCATCAATTAATATCAAATTATTTATTTAATTTCTAATTTTTTAATTTGTCTACTTTATCATAAAAGCTAATGTTTAATTCATACGTAAAATTAATTCCCTCCCTTTAATCAAAATTAATAAAGACTCTCTGCAGTTACTATGATATAAATGTTAAAATTATTATTTTATGTATGTTTTATCTTGTTAAAGCAAAGTAAAATGATTTTAAAATAAACTAAAGAGAAAACCTAAACAAAAAAATTAATTTTTAAGGATTTTGATGAACAATAGCAAAATTAAATTTACTTTAATTAAATTAATCTTTGTAAACAAAATATTTGTTCTCTTAAAATCCTTTTTAAACATACTATCATAGATTCATTCTGAATTTCAAATTCTTAAATTATTTAATTTTCCTTAATAAATTAATTTGATTATTACATACTTTTGAGTGTTATCTATATCAAAAACATTTCTAGGAAATGATGATCTTGGTTGTATTTGTTAGTTTTAAATTTTTAAAATCCAATTTAAGTTTTAACTAAATGCTAACAGGGAAACAGACAGACAAAAATATGATTTAAGTTTTTAAGAAATTTTTCATCATTACATTTAATTTATTTTGAAAAGCATTAAAATGAAATAATTTTTTATGAATGTAATTAAATTAATGTAAAGACTGAAAGAATAATTACACATTTTAAAATAATTAATTAAAACGCACAAAATTTTTGAAAAATCAATGTATAAGAATATTTAATGTTTTTGATTGTAAAGTTTGAGGTCAAATAAATAATCAAAATGCATGTAAATAATAATTAAAGATATAAATAGGAGCTATTACAGCATCATTCTTTTTCCTTATAAATATAATTGATACTATTTTATTCTTAACGCTTTTTTGATTGTCTATCTTAAATATATATTTTGTTTTCTGCTCTTAAAAGAAGTAAACTATCTTGAAAAAAACTTTATTTTAAAATAGCTTTAAAGATTTTCATATCAACAATATATTTAGTTTTAATTTCATATGCAAGATTTTATATAAAACTCTAAACTATTTTTTTTTTAATATTGTGTTTTTTTAATATTTTAAAAAGTGAGAAATTTATCATCAAAATGTAAATTATTATTCATAAGATAATCATTCTCAATAATAATAAAAAAAATTTATATTGTTTTTTTTTGATTGCTTTTGCATTTAAATTCAGAATCTAAATTTTATCAAATAATTATTAAATCATAAAAAAAAAGTAATTTATCAAATTATACTAAAATCTATGAATAAAAAATATCTTGCTTTACTTGCTGCTTTCAGTTTACTGTAGCTAGTCGCAGCCGGTGATTGTCCTCTCTGTACATACAGCGCTAATGGAGAAGATTCTCCTGATGCTTGTTAATCCTGTCCTGCTGGTAAATGCACACCTAGTGTAAAAACTAGTAGTACAGACGATACATAATGTACTGTTAATACTAAAGAATGCGATGTAGGTAAATTCAGCTCAACAGGATATGATACAGATGGGCTTGGAGCAAATTGTGATGTTTGTGCACTTGGAACTACTAATAATACAAAAGGTTCAAAATCCTGTCCTATCACCTTACAAAAATGTCCTAAAGGAAAATACAGCGCAACCGGATATGATTCAGATGGAGCAGGAGCAGGTTGTACCAATTGTTCACCTGGAACTACTACCAGTTCAGAAGGTTAAACCACCTGTTCATGTCCTAAAGGAAAATACAGCGGAACCGGATATGATTCAGATGGAACAGGAGCAGGTTGTACCGATTGTTCACCTGGAACTACTACCAGTTCAGATGGTTAAACCGCCTGTTCTGTTACCTTACATAAATGTCCTAAAGGAAAATACAGTGCAACAGGATATGATTCAGATGGAACAGGAGCAGGTTGTACCGATTGTTCACCTGGAACTACTACCAGTTCAGATGGTTAAACCACCTGTTCATGTCCTAAAGGAAAATACAGTGCAACAGGATATGATTCAGATGGAACAGGAGCAGGTTGTACCGATTGTTCACCTGGAACTACTACCAGTTCAGATGGTTAAACCACCTGTTCATGTCCTAAAGGAAAATACAGCGGAACCGGATATGATTCAGATGGAACAGGAGCAGGTTGTACCGATTGTTCACCTGGAACTACTACCAGTTCAGATGGTTAAACCGCCTGTTCTGTTACCTTACATAAATGTCCTAAAGGAAAATACAGTGCAACAGGATATGATTCAGATGGAACAGGAGCAGGTTGTACCGATTGTTCACCTGGAACTACTACCAGTTCAGATGGTTAAACCGCCTGTTCTGTTACCTTACATAAATGTCCTAAAGGAAAATACAGTGCAACAGGATATGATTCAGATGGAACAGGAGCAGGTTGTACCGATTGTTCACCTGGAACTACTACCAGTTCAGATGGTTAAACCACCTGTTCATGTCCTAAAGGAAAATACAGCGGAACCGGATATGATTCAGATGGAACAGGAGCAGGTTGTACCGATTGTTCACCTGGAACTACTACCAGTTCAGATGGTTAAACCGCCTGTTCTGTTACCTTACATAAATGTCCTAAAGGAAAATACAGTGCAACAGGATATGATTCAGATGGAACAGGAGCAGGTTGTACCGATTGTTCACCTGGAACTACTACCAGTTCAGATGGTTAAACCACCTGTTCTATTACCTTACAAAGATGTCCTAAAGGAAAATACAGCGCAACCGGATATGATTCAGATGGAGCAGGAGCAGATTGTACCAATTGTTCACCTGGAACTACTAATAATGCAGATGGCTAAACTTCCTGTCCTATAGTGTTATAAGGATGTCCTTAAGGGTCTTATAGTTTATCAGGATTTGATAATGATGGACTAGGAGGAGGTTGTACTCCATGTACTGTTGGTACATCAACACCTTCAAGCTAAACTAAATCAAGTGATAATTCAAAATGTACTGTCACATTAACTAAATGTCCTGCTGGAACTATCAGTACAACAGGTTACGATACAGATGGAAGTGGTAGCGGTTGTAATTAATGCAGCAAAAACACATATTCTTCAATTGGTGACACTACTTGCACACCTTGTCCTACAGATCGTGTTTCTTCACCAGGTTCTAAGTCAGCTAGTGACTGCGTTTGCCCTAACAACTATGTTTAATCTACAGATGGAACTAAAGCTTGTATCTAAATTGATACAACAACTTACGAAAGAAATTTAGTTGCATCATCCATGATTTTACTGATATTCGCAATTATATTTTGATAATATTTTAAATTGAGTGATCTTTTTTTAAGTTTTTATTTGTTGGTTGCTTGTTTGTTTGTTTTTTAGATTTTAATTTAATGATATATCAAACAAACAAAATTTATATATTAAACAAAAAATTTATTTGAATTTTTTAAATCAAAAATCATTTTTTATTAAAATAATATTATGAAAAATTTAATGAACATAATTATTTATGTAGTTAATTCCTCTAGAATAAAGACACCAGAAATTAGCACAAATTTAAAAAGAAAAATATTTTTTTTTCATTTAACACTCATAAAAAAGAAAAAATTTAAAGTAAAAATAAATGAGGAATTTTCAACACCAATAAAAAAAATATCTAAACTCCAAAATAGTTGAGAGAAAAAATAAAAAACAAACTCTGAAAAAATAAAAATTGGATAAACAAATTAAGTACAAAAAAGTGACTAAAAAAGGACAAATTACCATCAAAATAGTAATATAAATCAATAGGAGAAAAGCTAGAACAGTGACTCAGCCACAAGGAGAGTCACCCTATTCTCGATACGATCGTCAAAGTCTAGATCTAAGACACTAAGTAGATCAAGAACAAACAGCAATTCTAACTACAAAACCAACTACAGTACAAACTCAAACTTAAAAACAAAAACCAAAAGAACACAATGAGGAAACAAAATAAAAAGATATTAAAATAGGAAATAACAAGTAAATTAAATGCTTTTATTTAATTAAAACTCTTTCAAGAAATAAAAAAAATATTTATTTGTATTGATGTTTCTTCATTTTAGTAGATTTATTTTTTATTAATTATTTATTTATTTATAAAAATAAACTTTTATAAAGGTTTTAATTACATAAAAATAACTTTTTAAAGAAAACTGAAAACTTTTGGTAGGAATATAAAAAAGTTTCATTTTTATTTCTACTATTACTCCTTCTCTTCAGATTCTATTTAATATTGAATTATTCTTTTTAAACTATTTATTAGACTTTCTTTTTCTTATCTCTCTATTCCATCTCTGATAGTTAGAACTCCTTCTAAAAAATAAGGTGAAAACTGATTTTGAAATGATTTTTAAATTTATGAGAGAATTGTATTAAGATCATACTTTGATGTAACTAAAATGCTTTTAAATATTTGAAACTATGTTTAAACATGTTGCACTTATTATGAAGAAATTTAAACAATAGAACTATTTGTCATTAGAGCATTTAAAATTTCTCCATCAGATTAAATCTTTTCCAACAGTTTTTAATAATTACTAAAAATAGACTTCAGCTCTGTTATTTCTTTTTTGCTTGACTTAGGAGCCACACAGTGAGTTAAGTTATCAGGATTATAACCTTAGCAGACATCATACACCTTTTTAATTTGAACAATAAGCTGTTCCCAATACATATTCATTGTATGCTCAATGCACAATTTACATAAGCTGGCATAGTGAATTTTACTTGGCTTTAATCCTTATTTTATTCTTTTCAAATGTTCTTCCAAAGTTTTTGATAATGCTTTCATATTGACTTCTTCATCATCATTTATCCACTTGTCTCTTAAAATTTATTAACAAAAATAAATAAATAAATAAATAAATGATTTCTTAGCACTTAGCTAATGAAAATTAATTAATTTACCCAAATAAAAATGGAATAACTATAGAGTGTATTTCTCTAAATATGATTACCAGCAAATACTGCTAAAGAGTAGAAATTGCTTCCTTAAAATTTTTTCTTATCTCATTTTGAAAAATGTTTTCGATCCTATCCAAATAAGACTCATCCTTATTTTCAAAGAAAGCCAATGCTTATTTCTTCGTATCTGAAGCGTTCTTATCACATTTATGAAAGTTGTTAATATCAATAATTACTTTAACAAGAATATAGAAAGTATCTCCTCCGACTGGTAAATGCTATAATTCTTTAATTAGCATTTGAAGCTCCGGTTATATGACATAGTGATTCAAACTATCGCTTATTAATCTTAAAAATTCTATAAATTGGTTAGGTTCTAACTGAGGTCCTAAAATATCTATCTGAGTATTAATAAATACGAAAGTATCAACTGGGAAATTACCAATTAAATCCTACTTTTCTGTTACAAGTTTTGTGATAGATTCTACTGTCATAAAGTTTATATGATCATTTTCTACACAATTTTCTAAAAATTTTCTAAAGAACTCCTTTAAATGGTCTTAAAATAAAGGCATATATTAAAGAGCTTTGGCTTTAAGTAACTAATAGTCTGTTGATTCTAGCCCAGCTTTTGCAAGCATTTTTTCATAATCATTAACCCATTAAATCAGTTTAATAGGAGTTCCATATTACTCTTTAATTTTAGACTCATCGTCTAAATAGGGAAGGACTCTTTTCTCAATGTTCTCACGATATTTAGATTCATACACTTTGAATATCTCAAAATCATCTGGAAAGCATTTCATGACTTTATCTTAAACAAGAATGAGATCTCTCTCAGTGAAACTAAATTCATTATTTGAAAAAAAATGTTAAAATAATATTTATTTAATCAAGTTCGTTACTGCGCTTTATCAAGAATTAAAATAACATCTGTTGCTCCTTCAAGAACTTTATCAAATCTTAAATCGATAGAATCGTGTATTGCTTTTATTGCATTTTTCTTAAATTAGGGAGGTTTATTTTTTTCTTAGAGGAATTTATCACCAGATTGAATAATTTTAACTAACTAAATTAAGTGATTTGGATCTTTCAAAGACAATTCTATAGCATTTCCAAAGCCACTATAAACTTCGTTGTAAAAAGCTCTTTCAAAAGAAGTTAATGATTCAAATTCTTTTTCTAATTTATCTATATCTTGACCTCTTTGTTTCATTTTATCTATTAAATTATCACGCAACTCTGTCTAGGTAAGTAACTTATAATGAATATACTCATAATTCTACTTATCCTCCTCAAATAATACTCTCATTTTGTCAGTCTACTTCTTGATTGCAAAATAAAACTTTATGTCATCAATTAAATTTCCTACATTTTTTTTGTAAAGGTTAAGCTTTTCTACTTTTTCTAAATCTTGCTAAAAGGGTTAATCTTTTTCATGATCTAACTGCAATTTTACAAGCTATTCTTATGTTTAAACTAAATTTATATTGCACTTTCCCATAAACTCTTTCACAGCCTAAATATCATCAATTTGCTTTTCTACAGAAACAATTATTTCATTATCTATTTCCTATTATCTCTTTTTGTAGCTATTATATTCTTAGCGAAGTTTGTCAGGATTTAAAAAATTCTTATTATTTAAAATATCTAAAATAGCTTTCGAACTTAAATCTTTCGCTTCCTATTCAGTGCTTATGTTTTTTAGATCCATTATTATTAATTCAGTTTTGATTTTCTAAAATATATCTCTAAAACTACAATTAAATCTATTTAAATCAATATTAATAAGATGTAAATCTTTGGTTTTGATAATTAAATTTAGTAAGTATTATTTATCAGTAATTTTTTAAATTAAGTAATATGTTTTTTTTATTTTGTTAATATACAACTACACAAATCATTATTTCTGTTATTTAATAAAAATAAATTATATCTTAAAATAAATAAATGATTTTATATTTGAATATGTTTTATAAAAATATGTTATCAAATATCTTAAATTAATTAAAAATATTCAATCAATCAAAAATAGAAACTATGAATTTTATTTTTAGATATTATTTAACTATAAATCTTCGATTAACCTATTATCTAAAATATTTTTAATTTAAATGATTCCTATTTATTTTTAAATGATTTTTTAGCTATCAAGCAAATAAATTAATTAAATAATAAATAATTTCATAAAATTTAAATTTGTAATTTTTTAGAAATATAAAAAAAATATTTTAAATTAATTTAATTATATAAATATGAATAAATAATTCAATTAAGTAAATGAAATGTTTTTAAAGAAATATTTGTAAAAATTAATTTTAAATTAAGATATTTATATATTAAGCTCTTATTTGTTTTGTAAAATAGTATTTTAAATTTATGGATTAATCAACTTCTGCATTCAATAACCTCTATAATTAAAATAAGAGTCTTGAGTTATTATGAAATGAGTGGAATTTATCTTATTTATTTTTAAAAAATACTATTGGTTTATTTTATGAGTGAATGATTAGAACACTCTCAAAATTAAGAAATAATCAGAATAATTGTAAAAAATGGTTTTATAGAATGCCAAATTTTTACAATTGAAGAATTTCTGGTTATGAAATACTTAAATATGATTGATTGCTTCATTATATGAAAAGATTGTAATAAAATTTATCAGAAACATGGGAAAAAAGTACATTTGTTTTTACTTACAGTTTATGCAACAAGCAGTAAAAAAATATCTATGTAGATCAAATAACAAATTATGAGCTTATTTTTTTATCTTTTCTTGTAATAATTTAGTTTATTTCTTAATCACTAATTAAAGCAAATAAAGTTAAGAAAAAAAGTGATTCAATTGACTCTTATACTTTAACTTAATTCTTTTAATAAAATAAATGGATCTTTAATAAAGTAGTGCAAATGAAAAGTAAGCTGAATAACAAATTAACTTTAAAATTTGCAAAATAGATAACTCTGAGTTAAATATATCGAAAAAGTAATACTTTTTTTTAATTGATATTAGATTAAATTAAAACTATTTTTGTTCAATAGAACAAAAGTGTGGTTCTTTTTGAGCTATGCTGATATTTTTAGATATTTGCCGGTGCCTAAAACAAATGAAGTAAGCACTTTACAGTCTTAATCAGCCAGTATATTTGCAGTTTCGGCTCTACTAGGGTTATTTATCTATGAAATTATTACCCTGTTACTGTTTAATCAACCAAGAATAACTTAACATGACTAGCCTATTGACATTAATTCTATATACGATGCTCCAGACTTTGCTTTTGGCTTCTTTATAGGCGATAGCCTGCAAACATTTTTTAATGATGATACTTATTTCGAATACTATATCGCTTAGTATTCTCAGTAGAAAGATTAAAGTGGAACTTACCAATCTGCTGAAATTTAATAGTAAATTGCTATGTGCAACCCAGATTGGTTAAATTTTTAGCTGTAATTAAATTGTCCATCAAGTTCTTTAAAAATATAAAACTAAGATATTTAAAATGAATAAGTACTTTTTCCAACAGTAAAAATTCTTTCATGTAACGAATAAAAACAAAAGGTTTTAGGAAAATAATGCAAAACTAGCCAATAAGTAAGAAGCCTTTTCGCGTAAGGCAGGTTTCTTTTGTTCATTAAAAAATAAGGGTAGTAAAATGTAAAAACAAATGAGTATTCAGACGATTCTTATGTTGTCTATTAATTCTTTGTAACAATTAAATACGAAAACATAGGAGAAACATTACTTGCTAGAAAAATTTTGCAATAAAATCCAGATTTCGCTCGTAGATTTTCTCAAAAGAAATCTGAAGAATCATATTTCTAAAATTTTTATCAGCATTTAAATAAGGTTAATGTTCAATCTACTCCAATAAAAAGACTGCTTATGTAAGGTAAAATGTTTTATTCACACAAAAAAAATATTTTTAATTTGTAAAATAAAATACTTTTTAATACTTAGGTAGTTAAATAAATGACTCTTTATTCTCAGAGTCAATTGATATGCAAGATTAGTAAACTATAAATTAAAGAATTCTTGAATAATCTTTTAGCAGTTAAAAGTAATATTTCCAGTGGTCATTAAATTAAGTTTCTAACTAAAAAGTAATAAATTAGACATATAAAACAGTTCCTGATTTATTTTCTTTCTTAGGAGGTATATGGGATCTTATGTATGGCGCTTTTGTATTGCTGTGTGTAAAGAGAAATGCAAATAAATTTTATGCCTAAAAAAAATCTTGGGGAAATTTTGATTTATTCATGAAAGAAAAAGCAAAATAAAAAAGAATAGAGGAAATTAATAAAATCAATATTTAATTAGAATTAATCCCTTCAGAATTCAAGAATTAGTATATATAGACAAATGAAAATTAAAAAGGTATTAAGTTCTATGATTTAAAAAAAATAGTAAGTCAGTTTTAAAAAAAAAATATTAATAATAACAATAATAAAATATTATGAACAAATTATCTTGTAAATTATAAAAGAAAACCTTTAAAAAAACTATTGAAAAAAATAAATAAGAAATAGAAAAAAACAAACTCTTTAATTTATGTAAAAATAAAATTTTAATTAATTTAATTATTACACTCACTCACTTACTCAATTAACTATAAAATTTTAATAAAATCTGTAGGATTTCATTTTGTAAAATATTTATTTGCATTATATAATTATTAGTTTAATTTAAAATAAAAGTAGTTAACAAAACCTAATACACATACACACACACACCATAACATTCAATTACAAAAAATTTAAAAAAAAGGGAAATTTTCTCAAAGTAAATTAATTTTTTCTATTTTATAAAATTTAAGCTCTTAATATATTCGGCTCTTAATTAATGAGGATTTACAGTATATTCTATGTTAAATTAAAAAGCATTTTTTTTACTTTATTCATCTTACCTTCGTTAATTACTTGTTATCATGAAAATAGCTTATAGGAAATCAATCTTTTTAATTTAAGGCACTTCCACTTTAGTTTCAATTTTTCTGATACTTAAATTTAGTTATCACTATAAATATAAATAAATTATTGTTATTAACACATTATAAATTAGTTAAATAAAAAGATAATTTATAAATAAATTAAAAGTATTTATTATTTTAAATTTTTTTTTTTAAAAAAGTATCACAATTAAACATGAAAAAGTAAGATGTTTTACCCAAGATTAAGTATTAAATTTAAGAGAGTAGTAGATTTTGCTAAAGCGGAAACTAAGCATGATTAACCTTCATAATCAATTTAACTAACACTTTTTAAAAATTCAACAAAATATTTTTAGCTATGATGAAAAAATAAAGAAAAATTGTTAAAATATAAAAATAAGTTAAAATGCTATTAAAAACTAATAAATATAAAAATGAAAGTTTTATTGTTAAATTTTCATTTTTATATGAAAAGCTGTTTCATTCCAAAATAAATAAATTGTATTTACTTAATATAAAGTGTTAAATTTAAGAGATTTGAGCACTTTTATAAAGCAGAACATAAGCTTGAAGCACCCTTTGCACCAATTTAATTTTCGCTTTTTAGATATATGAGAAAATATATTAATTGGAAGGATGGTAAAATGAAGAAAAAATATGAAATAATAAGGATTTTAATTGTGTTAAGTTAGTTTTTATGTAAAAAAATATCACTATCTAAAATAAATAAACTATTTTTACAAGAGATAAAGTGCCAAATTTGAGAAATTAGTACACTTTGATAAAGCATAACCTAGTTCTTATGCACCTTGATCGTCAATTTTATTGTAACTTTTTATAAATTGAAGAAAATTTAATTGATAATTTATAATTAAAAAATGAAGAAAAATATTAAAAAATTATAAATAAATTCATAATCAAAACAAATGTTGGAAATAAAATTTATATTTTAAGATAAAAAAATCAAAATTAGAATAAAAAGTATAAAAATAAATAGTTTTTTTATTATAATTTTTTTATATTCAAAGATATCATAATCTAAAGAAAAAACTATTTTACCCAAGATCAAGTGTCAAATTTGAGAGATTAGAGCAGTTATCTAAAGAAGAACCTAAATCTAATAAACTAGTTGCGCAGATTAAATTCTAACTTTTAAAAAGAAGTTGAATTAAAAAATTTAAGTAAAAATCGAATAAAAAACTAAAATGTAAATAAAAAGAAGGTGTTTTGTTATTTAAATAAAAAGTACCACAATCAAAAATAAACAAACTGTCTGTTTTTACCTTAGATAAAGTGTCAAACTTGATAGGTTAGTGCACTTTACTAAAGAAGAACCTAAGCCTAATATACCTACATCTTCAATTTAATTTTCACTTTTTTAATATTAAGAAATATATAATTAACTAATTAGTTAGAATGAAAGAAATAATGAAGGATAATTAAGTATAAATAATTAAAAATTAATTAATGATCAAAAAAAACTATTTTTACTTTAGATAAAGTGTAAAATTTTAGAGATTAGTGAAGTTTGCTAAAGTATAACCTAAGTCTAATAGGCCTTCATTGCCTATTTGATTTCCACTTTAATATTGAATAAAATATAAGAAGTTAACAAAGAAGAAGAAATGAATAATATGAAGTAGCAAAAATTTAAAATTAAATTATGAGTTAAGGGGGAGATTATAATCTTGAATAAGATTTTAATTTTGATTTTACAAAAAATTAAATTGAAAATAAGAAATAAGTTTATTTTTTGGAAAATTTTTTGCCTCCTCTGCATCTTATTTAGATAAAATAAAGTAAAATCAGAATAAAAAAACAAATAAATGAAATAAAGAGGTATTTATAAATAAATTAAAAGAGTTTTGTTGTTTTAAATTTTTTTTTTTATGAAAAATTATCACAAAACAAAAAGAATAAACTATTTTTACCTCAGATAAAGTGTCAAATTTGAGAGATTAGTACACTTTGCTAAAATTGAACCTAAGTTTAATTCACATTTCTGGCTAATTTAGTTATGACTTTTTAAATTATAAAAAAATATAAATGGGGAAAATGTAGAGATAAAATGATGTAATTTGAAATTAATTAATAATCAAAGTAATATAAAAACCAATAGGGATTAAATTAAAAGAAATTAGAAGAAAAAAACAATGAAGGTAATTAGAAAATAAGTCAAAATAGGCAAAAATTAATTTAAAGAATTATATTGTTTTTAAATTAAATAATTAAAAAATATCACAATTTCTAACAAATAAACTAACTATTTTTACCCAAGATCTAGTATCAAACTAGAAAGATTAGGGAGTTTTGCTAGAGCATAGCTCATATCAGATGCACCAATTAAACCAATTAAATTTTTACTTTTTAATTTTTAAGAAAATATTATGAATTAATGATAAAGAAAAAATTGAAAAATATGAAATAAAAAAATTATTTAATATGTAAATTAAAAGAGTTATTTTAAATCAAAATATTGCTATCAAAATCATCTCTATTTTTACTTTATATAAAGTTCCAAGTTCTAAAGATTTATACATTTTGCTAAAGCTTAACCTAGACCTGATGCGCCCTGATTGCCAATTTAATTATAACTTTTTAGATATCAAAGAAAATATAATAGTTAGAAGAATAAATATGAAATTTTTAGAAGTTAATGAATAAAAACAGAGCAAAAGTTTGTAAATTAAAAATCTGTTAAATTGAGAAGAAAAATAGTAAAATCAAAATAAAATTACAAATAAATCTAATAAAAAAGCAAATATATAAATAAATTAAATAAATTTTATTGTTTTAAATTCATTTATATGTTAAAAAATATCAATGTTCAAGACAAATAAACTATTTTTACTTAAGGCATATTGTCAAATATGAGACATTAATGCATTTTGTTATTGCTTAACCTAAGCCTTATACACCATCATCACTAATTTAATTTCTACTTTTTAAATATCAAACAAATTATAATTTGTTATCAAGAATGATAAGATGAATAAAAATATTAAATAATAAGAAATAATCAAAATATAAAGTTTAAAATTAAATGATGAGTTGAGATAGATAGGAGAAAAAAAATACAATAAAGGTATAGAAGTAAATAAACCAAATAAAAAGATAATGCATAAATTAATTAAAAAATTTTACTACTTTAAATTCATTTAAATATTAAAAAATATCTCTCCAAAACGAATAAACTATTTTTACATAAAACTAAATCCCAATTTTGTTAAATTAGTACAGTTTGCTAAAGCAAAACCTAAGCTTGACAAACCCTCACCACCAATTTCATTGTAACTTTTAAAAATTTGAAAAGAAAATTAACTAGTTAGTTAGAAAGAAAAGAAAGAAAAAAAATTAAATAATAAAATTCGATTAATAATTTAAATAAGGGTTTAAAATTAGAAACGAGATGAAATAAATAAGTAAAAAGAATATTATCATCAACAAATAAAATAGATGAGGGTATTAAATTGGAAAATAATTTTTATAATAAATTGATAAATGAAGATCAAAAAAATAAGATTAAAAAGAATAAATTAATTTACTTAAGATTAAAATGGAGATCTTTATGAGATGAAAGCGAAGAGCTTAAAAACTTTGTTTATTAATAAAAATAAATTTAAAGAATATTAGTAAAAAATTAATAATTACATCTTTTAGGTTGTTATAATATTTATTCTATTATTTCATTTATTTATTTATCTTTAAAGAATATTAAAGAGAAATTTATGCAAATTTAATTAATTATAAATACTGCCTACTCTCTTAAACATAATAATTCTATATAAGACTTTAATAATACAGTTATATTTTCAAAAAAATAAAATTTTATACAAATATTTTATAAGTTTATAGGTCAAAAAAGCAAAGTAACTACATTAAGTTGTAAATTTACAAATTCTAATAATTTGATTTCTTTCGAAATTTTTAAATTGTAAATAGATAAAATTGAATTAAAAATATTAAATTAGTATTAATCTGTTTATGATCAATATTTGCTATTTTTTAATTTTCAAAATTATGATTTAATTACTAATAATTCACTCACCACTTAAAATGATTGTGATAAGAGTCAAAATATACCATGATATAATTCACTCACCGCTTAAAATGATTATAATAAGAATATAAAAATACTCATGATTCACACAACTAAATAAATAATGAATGCTTTTAAAGTAAAGTGTAATCCCTCATGATTCACACAACAAATTATAAAAAAATATCAAATTGAATATTTACTCATGATTCACTCAACAAAATAAAGTAAGAAATGCTACAAATTTGAATTAATACTCATGATTCACACAAGATTTCAAAATATATTTAATCTTTATCAAAAGATACTCATCAAGTACGCAGCAAATATAAAAATGAAAGCCTTTAACTTAAAAGTAGTCACTCATGAATCACATAAAATATAAATTCAAAATTATGATTTAATTACTAATAATTCACTCACCACTTAAAATGATTGTGATATGAGTCAAAATATACCATGATATAATTTACTCACCGCTTAAAATGATTATAATAAGAATATAAAAATACTCATGATTCACACAACTAAATAAATAATGAATGCTTTTAAAGTAAAGTGTAATCCCTCATGATTCACACAAAAAATTATAAAAAAATATCAAATTGAATATTATTTACTCATGATTCACTCAACAAAAGTAAGTAAGAAATGCTACAAATTTGAATTAATACTCATGATTCACACAAGATTTCAAAATATATTTAATCTTTTTCAAAAGATACTCATCAAGTACGCAACAAATATAAAAATGAATGCCTTTAACCTAAAATTAGTTACTCATGATTCACATAAAATATAAAATTTATGTGATTCATGAGTCTAGCTTTAGTCAATAGTCACCAATTATATTTTTTCATGAAAAAAATAAGTGTGATTCTTGAATACAATCATGAGTTCACCATTTAAACATATATTTAAATACTCAAATATTTTTTATAAAAACTAGAAACAGATAAAATAAAAAATAGTTGTAGTATACTAATAATCAATATAATATATCAGATTAAAAATATGGATAAAATTTCTGGTGAAAGCACTAAAATTTGTAGCAAAACTGAAGAAAAGTGGTGCTGCTGCCCTAGTGAGACCCAAAATTGCTGCAATTCTGATGATAAATAATGTTGTGTCGGTTCAGGAGAAGGATGCATATATGTATGCTGCAAGTGTTGTAAGGTTCAAGCTGAATGTAAATGCGGACCTAATGCTAAATACTGTTGTATAGATCCCAATACTGGAAACTGTTGTGTTTGTAAAACTAAATTTTGTAGTAAATCAGATTCTAAAGAATGCTGCCCTGGAGGTAGTTGCTGAAACTACTTACCTAATATCGATATATCTAAGGTTATCAAAATTTAATTTTAAGAATTTCTCAAAGGTTAAATGAATTTATTTTAAATAAAATAGCTTAGTCAGTCTACAAAAAGAAGGAATTTTTTAATATCAATAAAAACTAAATGATTGATTTAAATATTGTTTGCTTTGAGTACAATAATTTACCTTTAAAAATGAAAATTAATTGATAATATATATTAGTTATCATTAGATATATATTACTCTTTATATATCGTATATTTGCAATCAAATGAATGATTAAAATTTTTTTTTTTCAGATTTATTTCAATTAAAAAAAGTAAGAATTAATTTTTTATTTTTAATTTGAAAAAGATGTAAAAAAACATTTTATTTAATAAAAAATAAATAATAATAATTCAAATAAACTATTTTATATTTAAAATTTAGTAATTTTATTTCTACTTTTATCTCCTTATCTTCGCTAGGTGATAGGGGTATGTATATATGTTTATTTATTTATTAAGTTAGATAACATTATTTTTAATCAAAAAATAAATGACAATATATAGTTTTGTCATAAGAAGTATTGAGTAATATTATATTTTTAATTCCTCTCGCTTCTATTGTCTGTTGGTGCTGCTTCAAATACTTTAAACTACTTTTATGAATTTTCATCTATTTCTAAAATAGAAGCAAGATTTCCTTATCTTTTATTTTATAAATTTAAAAATGAGAATATAAATTTAGCTTTTAAACGATTTGGAATTAGTAAAAAACTATCGTTTTTATTATAAATGAGAACCTATAACAGTAATTTGGGGCAGACCAAATAGTAAAAAGTTTTTCTTCGAAGAATGAAATATAGCCATCTAAAACAAGTTAATGGGCTCTTAATATTGCTTCAATGTTATTTCTTCTACAAAAATCTTCAACGATATTTTATCCAAATAAATAGCCTGCTCCTCTAGGACTAATTTACCATCCTTTCATTTCTTAAAATTTTTTTGTTTCTTAATAAAAAGTTTTTTTAAGATAAAACTTTTTTACTATCAGGATCTGACCACATCAAATCAGACATTAAACCATCATCAGGAATTTCAATTTTTCTTTCAATCTTTGAAATCTAGATTTTCAAAATTAAATTAATCATTTTTAAAAATCATTTCTATTTATTAAGCTTATTTGTTACATCACTTAACACTCTCAGTTACGGCGAAAGGCCTCCATGAACACAAAAAAATTTATTATCAATTAAGGCAGCTATTGGAAGGCAATCAAAAGTTTCAGTGCAAGATTGCCAGACGTTTATCGAACCATATTTAGTTATACATTCATCATAAAAACCATAGCTTTTATTTGCTCTTCTAGATTCATGATTTCCTCTAATTAAAATAATTCTCTCAGGATATTTGACCTAAATAAGATTTATTTGAAACTTTATTATCTTAATCAATTTAAATGTAAAATATTACTTTAAAAGCCAATAGCAATAAATATGTTTCTACAGAATGATAACCTCTATCTACATAATCACCTAAAAAAAGATAATTTACTTATGGACATTCACCACCTACTTTAAATAACTCTAATAAATCCCAAAATTATCCATGAATATCACCACAAATCTAATTTTTTATTGAAAATAATATTTCTTAATTTATTTTTATTATTTTTAAATATTTCTTTGAAAAAAATAAAAAATCATTTCTCAAAAAATATGCAATTTTCATAAGTTTAAACTAGCAAAAGAGCTTTGAACATTTAAAATTATTAGATTAAAATACATTAATATAATTTTGAGTTTACTGTAATAGGAGAATCAACTAACACTAAATTGTCTTCTAAGATTAGAATTTCTATAGCCTTATTGCAAAGCTACTTAACAAGCTATTCCTTGATTATTTAGCACTGCTTTAGTTACTAAATACAATGATCAACGTCAAAAGCAATAGTCATTTTTTTTAATTGTTTTAGTAAATATGTAATTATTATTGCAATAAATTTCTAGATGTAATTATATATATATTATCTATCACCTTTCTCTGATTACTTAGATTTATATTTTGATTTTCTTTTATTATTTAATTTGATACGGTGAATTCTATTACCTATAAATTTCAAATGCAACATCAAACTTTATAAAAGAATATTGAAAATTACGAAAAATTAATATTTATTTGTTAATTACTTAATAGTGGCAGTTTAAAAAAATCGTACAATGATTTACACCATTCTTGCTAGCTAATACAATATATTAAATTAACATTTTTTAAATTGATTGAATTCTCATTTATTAACTTACAAACCTCTTTTGTTGTTTTACAAAAAAAAATATTATTAATTAATTAAACAGTTTATATATATATAAATTGATTTATTTATAAATTATAATGATAGGAATAATACAAAAATTAATTATGTAATAGATAAATTTATTATTTGTTTGAATTATAATTAATATGTTATTTTATGATAAGATTTCTGATAAATCTAGTTATATTTAAATCTATTTATTTATTTATCTATGCTTTTAATTGCTATTAGCTTATCTACTTTTTAAAATCACAAGAAGTAATCGGGTACATCTCTTTTTACGTTTTAGTTGTCTCTAGTTTCTTAAGGAGCAGCTTCGAATACTTTATATTGTTTTTGTAAGTTTTCATCTAGCTCTAAGATGGCTGCAACATTACCCATTCTATAAAGCAAAATAATTTTAAACAATTGAATTAATTAATAAAAAAAATAACCTATAACAATAGTTAGGAGCTGACCATACAGTGACTAATTTATCATCGAATTAAGGTCTATAACCATCCATAACTAATTAATGTGCTCTAAATATAACTTCAATATTATTCTTTTTACAGAAATCATCAACAACACTCTATCCAAATAAGAAACCTGCACCTCTTTAACTTTAAGCCCATCCTTAAACATCTATATATTTATTCATTTTGATTTAAATTAATACAAATTATATTGATTTCTTTGTTTGTTTTTTTATTTATTACCATCAGGATCAGACCACATCATATCACTCATTATACCATCGTGAGGGATTTCTATCTTTCTTTCAATGGGATTTATCTATATTTAGTTTAGAATAAATTATTCATATACAAAAAATTGTTGAAATCTGATAATTGATAGAAAGATATATCTATCTATCTATTATCTTCTCTTTTAATTTATTACATCGCTTAAAACTCTGAGTTTGGGAGATAGACCACCATGAACACAGAAAAATTTATCTTCAATAACTGCAGCTAAAGGGAGGTAGTCAAATGTTTCAGTGCAATATCTCCAAACATTAATAGAACCATATTTACGCAAACATTCATCATAAAAGCCATAATTTTATGTAATTAATCTAGATTCGTGGTTACCTCTAATCAAAATAATTCTTTCAGGATATCTAACCTTTTATGTTTTTTTATATAAAAGACTTAATTTAATCAGACCAAATGCAATTCAAAAATAAAAAAATATCTCATTTCTAAAATATTTTAAATGATAATTAAATTTTTCATATGAATTAGCTAGAGGTTTTTCAACTTTGGTTGCTTTTTGAGATATTTATTAGCATTAAGCTTAAAATTTCAATATCTATTTTTTAAACAAATACTTTTAAAGCTAAAAGGAGAAGGAATGTTTCAACAGAGTTAATACCTCTATCAACATAATCACCTAAGAAAAGATAATTTGTTTCAGGGCATTCTCCACCTACTTTGAATAATTCGAGTAAATCCCAAAATTAACCATGAATATCACCACAAATCTATTATTTATAATGTAAAATGATTGAATATAAAAAATATCTAAATTTTTAAAAGATAAATTCAACACAAACCTTAAGAAACACAATTAAAATGTTATTATAAGTTTAAGATTTTTTAAGATATAAAAATAATTTTATTAATATTTCTAGTTTGTTTGATAAAATGGCTCATTGTTTATTTATTTTTTTATTAAAATCTATAATTAATCCAATGTATTTACTGTAACAGGAGCTTCAACTTAAACCAAATTTTCTTCCAAATTTAAAATTTCTTTTGCCTTGTTGCAAAGTTCCTTAACTTCTTGCTCTTTTATCCTTTCACATTTTCTCAATTATTCTATCCACTTATCTATGTTTAAAGAAACAGCCATTTATTTTAATAATGATTATCTATCTTGCTAACAATTAATTAATTTATTTTTATGAAAATCTAAATAGTTTGATTAAATTTTTTTAATAAATTGTATTGATTTTGATAACTCTTTAACTTATCTTCTATTTTTTTTTCTCAATTAAGTTAAACGAATAAATAAAAAAGTAAATTAAATTAATAGAAAATTTATTTTAATCTTTTAGTTTCTTGATAAATCAAATTTAAGGTTAACTTACCTTTCTTTTTTTAAATTTGTAAAAAAAATAAGATAAATTATAAATCAAGTTGTTATTTTAATTAATTTTTACTCCAGTAAAATAATTTTTTTAAAATATTGTGTGGCTTTAAGATTATAAAATAAATCTAAATTCAATTTTAAAATTTTATTCAATTAAATGAATTTAAATTGATTAAGAATTGTTAATAAGTAAGTATGTGTAATAATTAATTCTTCAAATTATTTTTAAAAGCAAAGTAAAAATATGTATGAAAAAAATATGTTTTCTACTATATTTTAATAAGTATTTTATTGAAATTATTTTAGTAACAAATAAAAAATATTAAATTAGCTACTAAGGAGATGGAATGGAAATACTTGCACATATAAATGCACTCAGAATAAATTTTAGATATTATATTTGATGCTAATTTTATAATTTTTATTTATTTATGTGTTAATAAAATATTCTAGAATATATATTAAGGAGATAGAATAGAATAGAAATACTCACACATATAAATGCACTCAGAATACAACTTAAAATTTAATTTGTATTATTTATATATTTTTTTTTGTTATATTTTAAGTAACATGTTATAACAATTTTTGAATTTGAATAGTATATTATTGTTTGTTATTCACATTTTCTGCTTCAAGACATTAAGGAGATAAAGGTGCAAAGAGAATAAACGTTGGTGCTTCTTCTATAAATTAAATAAAAATTAAATTAGAAACCACTAAATAAAATAGAATAGAAAAATCAATTGGAAAATATAAATAATTCAATATAATTTTTAATGCAAATTAATAACTACACATGTAATAAAAGATTGAAATAGAACTTAGTTTTTTCATAATACTATATAAAATTTACTTTTTTAAGTTTATAATTAAATAGGGAGCAAGAATAATACCTAATACTAGTTAATAAATCTAAAAATAATATTAATATTAGATCTAAATCTTTAAAATAATTTAAATTTATTGACAAAAGTAATAAAAAGCAAGCAAGAAAATATAAAAGACACATTGAATGAAATAATGCCAATAATAACTCAAAAGTTTAGCCAATTAACTAAAAGTAATATATAGATAATAATATTACCTTTAATAAATAGATATATATCCTTTAATTTTAGATTTACCTAAATTACAATTAAATTCATTCATATACCTATAAGTAGTATTTGTGAGATAATTAATTTAGATTATTTTATTTTAATCTTTAAAATATTAAATATTTTTTTCTAAGTTAGGAATCAATTAAAATTATTTCCTATTCATTCATTTGGGAATGAGTTAAATTTGATTGTTTATTTATTTAATTCATTATATAAGTATTTAAAATTTTTGTTATCTTTTTTTTATATCCTAAATGATAACATCATATTCTTATTGTTTTTCAAAGAAGTTTTGTCTGAAATTATTTAAATTTTGAAGTTAATAATTTGCAAAAATTAGTTAGATATTCTAACAAATTTTTAATCAAAATAAAGTATAAAATTGTCATACACTATTCCTTAATTTAATTTATTATAAAGAAGGATTTGATCATATAAAAACTGGATAATTTAATACTATTATATTTAGTCCTTAAATTTTTTTATTAGTCTTAATTGTATCATTATTTAATTATCCTATTTAAGTCTAATATAGTAGAGCTAAGCTAATTTATTGTGTATGTTATATTATTAATATTTTTTGGAAATATATTTACCCCTTTTAAATGTTATATGTATGATTGCATAAATATTTTATTCTAGTTTTAGAAAAGTAATAAGAAGATCCTTAATAAAAAAAATGAATAGTAAATTTTAATTTAAAAATCCTTTGTAAGGATATAATGAAAGTATAAAAATTCACTCAAAATAAAAAATATAAAAATTAAAATTTACATAATATTATTATAATTATTGCTTAGATAATTATTTCAAAATAAAGAAAATTTATTATCAGATTAATGAATGAAATTAGAAATATTTGTTATTAAGTAAGTATATTAAATACTTATCATTTTTTATTTAACCCATTTATATATTTATTGATTTTTAGTAGTAAAATTAGTAAAATTTGTTTGTTTTTTTTTTAATAGATCAAAAATTTTTTTTCTTTAAGTTTGTTAGTATATTCATTATAAATAATTTTTAGCTTGCTTACTTTTTAATAGTTATTATAATTTGATAAGTTTTTTTTACAAGTTATTCTCTCCACTTTTCTAAACTTTCAAGCAATTTAATGAGAAGTGTTGAGTAATCAAATCAAGTCTTTTTTCATTTAGTATTTATTTATTTTTTGTATTAAGTCGATACTTAAATCAGACTTAGTTATTTGTTTAGATGTGATTAGGATGATAAGTTAATCCTTCAGGCAATGGTTTTCTTTTTAAATTCTTTTTGCCTAAAGGGTAGTTATTTTTGAGTAAAAAGTTTAATAAAGGGATTGTTAAATCGTCTTCATAATTAAAATGTCCGTGGTTCATATCCGAAGGAGTGTCTAGTTAGTTAGCACTTTTACAATGTTCTAATTAAAGTAAAAAAATATTGAAATAAATTTATTTTATTAATTAATAATTACGACTAAGAGTTTAAGACTGCTTATATGAAATTAAGCTATCTTTTTTTCCATGTAAAAAGAAAGTAGGAGAACTAACTTTTTTAATATTTTCTAGGTTATTAAAACGCTCTTTAATAATGTATTTAAAAAACCAAGCGAAATCTTCAACTATTCCCCTTATAGAAGTGAAAGCACTTATCAAAACCAAGGCTCCTACTTAGTGCTTTGAGGCTAGATAAGTAGCAGGACCAGTTCCAATACTTCTACCTAAAAGGATAATATTTTTAAGTTCAAATTTTAATTGCTAAGTGACAAAATCGAAGACGTATTAGGCATCTTCTTGAATCAAGTCAGCAGTGCAACTTTAATTTGTTTTATAGGTTCCATAACCAGGATATTCTACTCCAATAATATTAATCTATTTAATTAATTAATTTATTAAAAAATTTTGTTACAAATGTATATTTTTATCTAATTGATAATAATTTAATTTAAATTATAGTGTTAGAGTTTTTATAATTTTATTTCTAGTATTTTTTTAATTGAGAGGGATTTCAATGACTTATAATACATTTATTTTTTTAAATTAATTATTTCATTTTCTAGTGCTTATCAAAATAGATTTTAACAGGATTATTTTTTTAATCCGTTTTTAATTTTAAGTATTCATGATTTTTATGATGAAAGGATGAATGAAATTCACTATAAAATTCCTATTAACTGGATACATAAATGAAATTATAATAATTTAAATTCAAGGACTCTATTCTTTTTATTTATTAGCTTCTAAAAAACCAATCAAGGGAAATCAAAATTTAGTGTTTTACGCCATATATTAAAATGTTTGGAAGGGCAAATTACAAGCAATTTGGAATAAGAATTCTGAGTTATGAAATAATTAATAAAAAGAATTGGATTTTCTTTCTATAATTAATGATGGTTTTACTGGAAATCAAATTTTGAAATTTGAGAGTCCGTTATTTGTTTATTAAAAAATATATATTTTTTCAAGAAATAAGCAGGAGCATATAGGATTTGAATAAATTTATCTAAAATAATATAGAACAAATTTAATCGAAAGATGAATAAGTTTTGAATGAGATGTTTATAAATTAATTAATTATCTAACTTTAATTGCACTATGATAAATTTCATTCATATTTCTTGATTATACATTTTAAATTAATATAAATTGTTTTTCAATTTTTACCTCCATAGTTTGTCTCAAGTGGTTCAAAAGAGGATAGCTTGAAAAGATATCTTCGCCGTTTGCATGAAAATAAATTAAAAGATTATCAGAATTGGTATTTGAATTCAAATAGAGCACTGGTACGTATCCAACTGGCTGATAAATATCTACATCATAGCCCATAAAATCAGGATTATATAATTAGCTTTCAGTGATTTGAATTTTTCTTTGTTAGCTATGATTTTACTTTTTTTTATCGCTTCCCATCGAAACTACTTCATCATTTTTATATGCGCTTGAATTATTGCTGCAAACACTGTTAAAAATAGAATTTCTTTGCTAGTTTCGTTCAATAATAACGCTTTAAGCTAATTTGTTAGGAGTTCCACTTTCTGAATTAGAGGTTGTTTTCTAAGAAGATAAATTAAATTAAAATATACTGCTCATAAAACTCTTTGTTGTATTTGTCTAATCTTTTGCCTTTTATGCAGAGCCTCCTTAATCGCAAATGCATGAAGACACTGATGATTATCTTGAATTTGATGAGTATGATGAATTGCGAATATCTCTTTATGATTTTTCATGACAAGAACACTTTTTCCCTGCAAAAACTGACAGTCTAGAGTTATTATTCTTAGGTGTATTTTGGCTTGATGATTCTGTGAATTGAGAAACTTCTTCTGTTGAGATTTAAGTAAAAGAGGATGTGCTGTATTGATGAGCTACTTTTAATTAAGCACCCTTCTTACTTGGTTACTCCTTTTCATATTTAGCTAAATTTGAAGAAGTTTCTGCATATCCCCTAAATTTATTATTTTTATTTTCATTAAGCGAAGTAGAAGAAACTTAGTTGAAGACTGTGTGGGATTACATCCTCAATGAATTTGAAGATCTTGGTGAAGGAGTTTTCGATTCAGATTTATCTAAAGAATCATTTCTTTACTCGAAAGCAATATTTTTTGTTGCTTTTACACTCTATGCTGGATATCTTGCCATCATTTCTGAAGGACGAGAGCTGCGAGGACTCATAGGAATTTAGGAGTCCTCAGATATTTTTTTCAATTTTGGTATATATGCTAATTTACCATTCAGAAATGCTTCAAGCGAAATTTTGGTTTTGAGCTGTGGAAAAATGATGGAATTAAGTTCCATAATAAAATATTGTATGGCGTAACTAGTATAATGGAGATTGAATTAGTTAATGCTTTAATCGAGTTAGCAGCTGTTTAAATAGCTTTTTTTCAAAAATCAAATAAATTATATGTGTTTGTATGTGTGTGTGTGATTGATATTCAAAGCAATTAAGCAAGCAAGCAATCTAGTTTGTATTCTTTTATTTATTAGTACTTCTTTTAAAATTAATAGATTAATCGCTAAATATTAAATAATTGAAATAAAAAATTTATATTTAGATTATTTAACTAATTAATATAATTATTTATTTATATCTATGTTGTCTCTTTATTCCTTAATTTATTTGTTTATTTATTTATTTCTTTCTTTCTTTTATTTCTCAATCAATAACTTTAGTTTATTATTTCAATTGATTGCAAAATTTTTGCTGGCTTAATAACAAGCAATCGATTACTTTACAAACAGAATACCTTTGCAACATCATAGATAATTAAATAAATATCTAATACTTTTATTATGAATAGCTACAACAAAAAAAAATAATCTTAATCAAATGTATGAGTGTGTAATAACATAAAATCCATATTTAAAATAAAAGCAATTTGTGCATTCATTAACTTATTCTTATCAAAGATGATTTCAGTAATTATAATATTTATTATTTTTATTAAAATAAATTAATATATGTAAAATGCAGTTATTAGATAGAGTTTATATATTTATCTCTTATTTTCACTGATGAAAATCAATACACAACGCAGACTTTTAAATTCCTACTTATTAATGAATAATTAATATTATATTAAAAATTATAAAATCTATCTGCCAAATATTTTTTATAATTTATTGCTAACTTATTTTGCAATATTTTTTTATATTTGATTTTTTAAAAATTTTTTATGTAAAAAATAATCTTGTAATGAACTTTGCTCAAAATTTGACATCTAATTATTATTATCATTTTCAATACAATTAATTATTTGAGTTTTTATTTTCATTGAATTAAAATATACTTTGTATACATTTTTATTATTTTTTTCTAGTCCATTAAGATATCTTCTCATTAAAATAGTCAATCTAATTTGTGATTAATCTTACACTTAATGACTGTATTGCTAAATAATATCTTAAGCAACCAAATAAATTATTAAATAGTAAATGATAAAATTTTAAATATTTCGCACTGTCTCCCTTTTCATCAAATTAAAAGAGCTGACTGCCTTTTATCAAATTCACTTTAATAAACAATTTAAGATTAATTGATTTAAGCAAAAAGTTATTATTTATTTCATCCTTGTATAAATTTAATTGATATAGAACCATAAAACCTAACTTTAATCAACAAAATAAACTGAATTCTCTAGCTCATCTGCATAAAAGCAAACATAATAAACAAATTATTTATTATTCATGTGATTATTTTTTGTAATTTATATTTAGCAAATTTAATAGTAAACTAATGGTTTAAACCTTTTTAATTAAATTTTTAGATTTATCCTTAATGATTAATTAAATCTTACTAAATTCATATTACTAAGTACGTACTCTGTTATTTAATTTTTAAGATAATATTTTAAAGTAAAATGAAATATATATCTAATGGTTATATTTAATAAAAGTTTTTTTCTTTTTAATGTTATTTTCTTTAAAAATTTTGTAAAATACGAAAAGAAAATTTATTTACATCATTTTTAAGATATTAGTAAATAGTTTTTAATTAATTTTGTTAAATTCCAATGCTTTATATATATAATACTAATAAATTAAACTAAATTTCTTAATCTTAAAAGCTTTTAATTAAATAAAAATGATATAAAATAAAAAAACTTAAATATTTTAATTTAATTAAAAAATTAGATTTTCTTTAAGATATCTTTATGATTTAATTCAGAAACTCTAGTCACAATTTCTTTTTAGAATATAGAAAAATCTTTCAAAGTTAAATTTAAATTTCTTTGTTACTAGAAAAAATTATCACTTTTTTTAGTTTGTAAAGAGAATGTGATTGTGTAATTTACTGTTTCTTTAATAAATATTTAGGTAGTAACTATGTAAATATACCTATGATTAATTTAAGTTCTAATAAAAACAAAATGTTTGCATTAAATGATTTTCTCTTATATATGATTCATTCATTTATCAGTTTTAATCTAAATATTTAAAATTTTGATTTAAACTAATAAGTTAATTTGTTAATTAAATTTTTTTAAAATGATATCTTTAATTTATTTTATAAAAAGAATTGATAAATAATTTATTGAGTTCCTTTATTCTATAATGAGCTAAGAGTAAAAATATTTATTTTTACATATTTTTGTAATAATTTTAATTTAGCTACTATTTTATGAAATAATAAATCTAAAATTAATTAAAAAACTCAGAAATAATTTTTACTGCTAATATTCTAAATTTAGAGGATATTTTCTGTTTGCTGAATACTTTAATAAGATTTGATTTTTAAATCTTCAATAATTTTTTACAATTATTTTATTTTTTAATTCAATTAAAATCTTTAAGCAAGCTGATCGATCCATTTTATATTTTTCACTTTTTTTTAATTTGAAAAAATGTTGATATTTTATAAAAAAAACTTAGTTTAGTGATACTTATGTAGAAAGAAAATTTCTATTTCAATTATCTATATATTTAGCTTATCTATTTCATTTGAATAAAAGACTAACATTATATATTTTATTAAACAAACCAACTAAATTAATAAGTTATATAACTTAAAAATATGTTCAAAAATTATTATTAATAGTTATAAAAAAAATCTTTTGTTTAAATAAGTAATCTGAATCCAAAATTTTTTTATTTTTTTAAGGAGATATAATTCTTGACATTTAAATATTTGTTCAAAATTATTTAAGAATTTCAAAGATATCAATCAATAAAAAATTACCAAAATTTTATAGAATTATCAAATTTTAGAATAAAGGAATTTATTTATAAATTAATAAATAAATTATATTATTTATAATCATTAGCAATATATTCTAAAAACTAGTCTTTGGTCTAAATTTTGAGACTCTAATCCACTCATTTGTACACAAAGATGTTGCTGATTATAAAAATATTTATTTCTTTAAGTGTAGTGTACAGAATTTTAGAAGAATCTATTTTATATATTTTAAATCCCAGAAATACAGTTAGTTATTCTTTTTAGCTTTTACTCTAATAACTAAAAGTTTAAATAAATTAATTAGAAATTAAGAATTACTTTTTAAACTAATTAAATGTATTTTTTATAAAAATATATGTTTTTTTTCATTTTAGATTTTCTTGATTAAATCATCTAGATTTAATAATTAAAAGTAAAAATTAAATTAAGATTAATCAAAAAAATAAATTTTTGAAACAACTGAGAATGAATGAATGAATGTATTCAGCTATTTGAATATAATAAAATATAGTTTTAAAAATAAATATTTGTAAGTCAATTAATATCTATTTAAGCTTTTAACTTTATTAATAAAGAACTTTCTTATAATTTTATTATTAGAAAGATTATTAATTTTTAATTTAGATTTATTCTATGTAATTAGAATTTTAGAATATATAGACAGCCTAATTTATATTTGGAACATTTATTTAGAGCTAGAGTAGTTTTGTGAATTAAATAAATATCAAATTAAAAATTAATATTGACTAGTTAGTTATAAATCAATGTAAATTAAATATTATTTTTACTCATATTGAAATTTTAAAAATATAAATTAATAATAAAGAGTTATTATTTTAAAAAAGTAATTTTTTTCTTTTAAGAGTGTTATATAAAAACAAAATCTGTAGCATCCATCATAGAATTTTAATACTTGGAGAACATAATTCTAAATAAAAAACTATTGCATATGATGATTTTAAAAAATTTATTATTTGAGAAGGTTTAATATTTATAATTTAGATTTCCTGATTTAAAAAAAGATTTTCTAATTAATTTATTATTGGAGAAGTTTTATATTTATGTTTAATTTAGATTTCAATATTAAATAATAAAAATCTAAAAACAATAATAAGTAAACTGTTATAATAAAATAAATAAAAAATATTTATTTTTGAAATAGCTATTTATAATTCATTAAAGGTTAATATTAAAAAATTAATATTTATTATTGATAAAAAATATAACTTTAAAAAAGCTTTTACTCTCTTTATCAATAATTAAAAATAAATTGTCAATAATAAAGTATTATTTATTAGTTAAAAAAGGAATTTTCTTATTATTTTATCACTTTAGAAGGGTTTATATTTTTAGTTTTGATATTTATATTAAATCTAATAATTCTAATAATAATAAACAGACAAAAATTTAAAATAAAAATAAGCCAAAAATTTATACTCAGAATAGATTTTGCAAATTCATTTCATAAGAATTCACATTTTCACTGTTAATACAAAAGTATTATTAAAGCAAATTTAATTTTAGATTAATAAAATTAGAAGAAATGAGATTTTTAAGCTATAATATAAATGTCTTTTAGAATATTGGATTTTCAATAACTTAATGATTTGTAGATTATCATTATGTTGAGCTCTTTGTGGAAGCTTATAATTATTTGTTAATAAAGTTGTTTATATTAAATATTATGTTTTTAAGATTTATTTTGATAATTATATAACATGCTAAATAAAATATTAATGTTTAAAAATAAAAACCTGGTGAATTTTCAACATATTCTTAAAGCTAAAAAATGTTAATTCAAAATCACTTTATAAAATTTAGAATAAATCACTAAATAAAATTTTTCATCATTTCAAATAATTTTATTGTAAATTTACTTAAGTCATTTGTAGAAACAAGGAAAGAATTGTTTTTAAATATATTTTTAATTATTGTTAAAGCTTATAAATTCATTTTTTATTTATACATTAAAAAATAAATATACATATGATAAATTTTAAAGAAATGATGAAATTGCAAAAAAAGATTCGAAATAAAATTAGGAGAATTTTATATGAACTTTAATGAAGTTTTATAACTAAGTAGGTGGATATATTATTTAGAAATTTAGCGGTTTGCTTTAAAAAATATCTACATGTTATTTAATTTTTAGTAAGATGAAAAAAGAAAAATAACTCATTTGTTTAATTTGTTGAATTTAAAAATGATAATTTTTGTAGCTTATTTGCTATTTAGATTTAATAAATATATTTTATATAAAAATATGCGGGTATTATTTGTAAGACGATTTCTGATCAATTTTCTTTATTTAATCCAAAATTTAGTTTAATTTTTTAAATATGACTGCATTTGTTTTTTGTTTGTTTTTTTTTTGTTTTGAGATGGGTGTGATTATTTATTTATTTATGGATGGATGGATGGATTAGTAAATTTACATACAAGACTTATAGCTAAGATTAATATTGTATCTTATCTATATATCTATGATTTTATTAATAATTTATATGTAAAAATTATTGGATATCAAATAAAATTAAATTATTGAGAATTTTTTCTAATAGAAAAATAGAAGATTTAATTATCTCTTTCAGAAATGATCTTTGATAATTTCAGCAAATGATAATCATTAATTCAAACGTAGATCGGATTTTTGGGATTAAAATTTGATGAAGATCGGATTTTTGAAAAAATGTAATTAAGCTAAATTCAAACGATTTAATTAAGTTATCAAAATTGAATTAATTACGTTTCTTAGATATTGACTTTGCATGAATTAATTGCTTTTTGTTCTTTCTAAATTAATCACATACAATTCATACATACATTAGACTACTTGTTAAATTTAAAACTTAAGCCATTTTAAGCTAAACATAACTCGATTATAAATGTCAATAAGAGCTACTGATTTGATATTCTTGCTAAAAATGGTCAATAACATTTCCTCTGTTGGTGTATGATGTTTTATTTGTCTTTTAATTTGATCTATTTGTAAGTAGAATTAAAGTGTTTTGTTTTTATTACTTCCTTTTAAGTTGGATGTAAAAGGGGCTTAGCTTGATTAGCAAGGCTGAAATGTTATATTAAGTATAGAAATGAATTGAAATTTTATACCAAGACTCAAAATTTTTTTATTTGTTTATTTTGGCGGAATTTGAAAATTTTTCAAAATCGAAGTTTTTAAATTTTATATGGTGAACAATGTTCATTTTAAGATAGTCAAGGAGGGGATGTTTAGAGGTTTACAGCTTTCGAAAAGCTTCTCTGATCTGATGGTGAGGAGAAAGAAGTAAAATGTAAGGATATTTAGCATAGAAATGAGGTAGGATGAAATAGGAGTTTGAAAACTAGCGGTTATGCCTAGTTGATCAAATTTTGTTGATGAATAATAGTGGATCTCCCTATATAGCTTAGTAAGTATTGATAGTGAGAGTGAGCTTCATTCATTCATTCACTATTCATGAGGAAAGAAAGGCATTGCTTTAGTAAAGAGAAAAAGAAAAGATAGTTTTTCTTTGAAAAATAAAGGGAAATTTTTCATATCAAAAAGAAATAATGATTGTAATTTTAGAATGAATAGCAAGATAGTTAGGTAGCTAGCTAATTAATTTGCTATAGTTCAAATAATGAAAAAAATATAATCTATGATTGATTATTTAGCAATTCCCCAAGGCTTTTTGTATAGAAATGTGAATATATCAAATAAAATTTATTGTATTTTGAAGGTTCAAATCCCTTTATTTTGTTTAGTTTGTAGTTAATAATTTGATAATAATTAAAAACAAATAATTAAAAAACAATATAAAAAAACTAATATCAATGTCTAAAGCTGCTAGCCAATACGCAACTCTCGAAGATCTCCCCTCCAAGCCCAAGAGACCCCAAACCGGTTTCTTCATCTACAAGAGTGAAGTCTTTGCCAAGAGAAGAACTGAGTGCCCCAACTTGAAGGTCCCTGAAATCGTCTCTAAAATTAGTGAAGAATACAAGGCCTTACCTGAAAAGGAGAAGTAAAAATACGAAGAAGCCTACAGAAAGGAAAAGGCCACCTACGATAAGTAAAACGACCAATGGAAAGAGAAGTATGGTGATATCGAAAAGTCCTTGAAGGATTAGGCTAAGAAGGCCCTCAAGGAAAAGACCAAAAAGTCCAAGGCTGCTGAAAAGGAACTTGAAAAGAGCAAGAAGAAGGCTCCCGCTGCTGCCCCTGCCAAGAAGGACGATAAGAAGGCTCCCGCTAAGAAGAAATGAGAAGGTTCTGAACCTGGAAACTTCTTTTTCGACTAAAGGAGCTTAAGCTGATTGACTTGCTAGTAATGATAAAGGCTGAAAAATTAAAGCTGCTGCACAACAAGCTAAAATTTGCTGTAGTCTCCCTATTTCATATTATTAATTAATACTACTACTCAGTTATTTATAATTATTATCATCAGTCAACTTAATTCTTTTTGCAATGTATATTCTTTACTTTATTTGTTTGTTAGTGTCTCTTGAGTTTTTTTAACATATCTCATTCAAAATTTAATAAAAAAATTCTTTTTTTTAATTAAAATGCTAATGTATTTCCAATCTCATCTAATTCACAATGAAAATTTTACAAAAATGCAAAAAAATCATAGCAAAAAATATCAAGAAATTAGAATGAAAGCCTTGTATTTTACCTTATAATTCAATTTTTTCAATTTCCTTTTTTCCTCAATGAAAAATCCTTAATAAAAATTTCCCCCAAAATCTATACTGAATGAATGAATAAATTAGCTTATGCATTCATTATCATAGAAGTAATATAAATTTTTATTATTACTAAAATCAACTCAGTCAGTCATTCTCATTTGTTTAAAAACAATCAATTTTTTAAAGAAATTCTTTGATGATATGATAATCGAGAGATATGACATGCCCTCCTATCTCCCTTCTTGCTTAGTTTCAAATAAATAAATTAAACATTTTTTTACTTAAATAATAGAAAAGAGACTTGTTTTCTCCTCAAAAAAAATCATCATGAATTAATTTTCCTCCCGAAATGAACATATTTAAAAAACCCCATTAATTTCTCTTTAAGTGTTTAAGATATATAAAGACTAAGAGTTTTATTTTCATTGCTGGCATCAATAAGTAATTGATATGTCTGAGATAGCCTGTAAAACCTATTATTTATGCCTTCCATCTCCTAATTGTATCCATAGATCGGCAAAGCAATATATTTGCACTATTCTGGATGCTCAAAATTAAATTGAGCCTACCCATATTAATTTAATTAAATTTGTTAATCATTAATTTAAAGACCAACATATATTAGTAGCCAGTTTGGTTTATTTTTTTCCTTTGATTTCATAGTAATTATTTTTTTTATAGGATTTCATGTATCCAAATTCTTAAATTCATGCTTGAAAGGCATTGAACTCACCTCCCTCTTCATTTTGACTCTTTTTTTATCTTGGTGAAATTTTAAAAAAAATTCAGGTTGAGTTTATTTCGTTTTTTTTTTAAGTTGGGTCAAAATTTATTGGGATATCTTTTTCTGATAAAAAATTTTTTATATAGATGATAATCACATTTTTATTCACTATCAATTTATAAAGAGACTCTCTCCATTACAAATTCATAGTAAAAAAAATAAAAAAATTGATTTGATTTCTTTATTAATTAATTTGCTGCTTTTTCTTTTAAATTAGATAAAGGTAAACGCCAATAATATTGACTTCTTTTTTGCTATTATTTCATTAAATTTTGAATAAAAGCTTTTTGATTTTCATTAAATTTCTCATAGCAAATGCTATTAATTGATTCTAAATAATCCTCCCCAATCTCTCTTTATAAAGTTATATATTATCTCATTATGTTTACATTAGTCTATATTTTATTGCCTTTGCTTTTGAATGAAAACTATTTAATTATATTACTAATCTTTTATAATTAAATTAATACTTTAGCTAATAAAAAAATTTATTATTAATTTTAAATTTCAAAAAAAAAGAAAGCTGACTTAATTAACACTCAAAATTAAAAACAAAAAAAAGGAAAAAAAAGAAATCTTTACTGCCCATTAATTTACATTTTATTTAATTATGAGTTTTCATTGATTCATTTTAGATATTCATTAAAAATTGAATTATTTGAAAATAAATTTCATATATTCTTTTCATATTCAATAAATCACTAACTAATTTTTAAAGACTTTAATAATACAAAAAAGAAAGCAAGGTTAAATGGATTCCTTAATATAAAGATGGAAATCCACTGTAGGAAGTGGCTAGAAGAGTGGTAGTTTCTCTTCTAGAAATGGTAATACCATTGAAGATTCTGCTTTTAGGCATAATAATAGCTCTTAGAATGATATTTATTAGAGAGACAGATCTCTGTCAGCAAAGAATAATGAAAAAAGAGATTTAAATGATTCTTCCTCTTCATCTTCTTCAGAAATCCCATTTTCATCTAAACGCCATAATTAATCTGCAATGAATTATTAAAATAGAACTCATGAGGATAAACTAGATGATATATTCTCTAATAGTGGAACCAAGGTATAATAAGTAGAAGGAAATAGCAAATAAAGATAGCAGTAAGGACAATCAACTATAAAGCCTCCCTTGAAGCAGCATTAATCCCCTCAGAGAAATGGTAGTTAAGATGAAAAAAGTAAACTCAAAAGCCTAAGAGAATCGTATGCAAATACTAAAGCGAATGCTCAAATAAATATACCTTAAAAAATGCAAAACCAATCATAAGTTTTTAATAATAATAATAGCTTAATTTAAAACATAAATAGCAATACATCAAGAAGTTAAATTATAGCAAATTCACCTTAAAGATCAGTAGCAGCCGCTAACAATACAAATAGAAGAAATATGACTTTTTATATAGACGAAAGTGTTTTCAGAATAGTAGATGTTTTTACAATTAGTAAATAACTTGATCACAAAGAATAAGTTAGTAGAGTAAGAAATTTGGTAGAGACTTTAGTTGAAAATTGTAAGAATTACTATGGTTTAACTGCTAACCGTTCTAATAGTAGAGAAGATTAGTAATCTCAATCATAAATTAAAGAAACTGAAAGAACTCTAAGTAAAATTAAACAAACAAGCCTAGCCCAGAAAGCTGAACAAAATAGCAAAATAGTATAAGATTTAGAAAATAAACTCTTTGAGTGTGAAAGATCAAGGATATAGCTAAAGACTGAAAATGAATAATAATAATTCAAAATAGCATCACTACAAAAAGAAATTGAAACGATCAAAATTTCAAATACAATGCTAGAAATGGTGAGAGAGTCTTAACTACTCCTTGAAAAAAATAATAAAACCCTCCATGAATAACTGAAAAAAGAAGAACTGAAAAATATAGAATAGTAAAGGATATTCGAAACATAATTATAGGAAGTATAGCTGATAATCAATCATTTAAAGCAACAGCTCACCTAAGCATACTCAATTTCGCCAACAAAGAGTCTCTAATGATATTCCTTCTAAAATTCATTTTCATTTTGTCCAACTTTAAATCAGAATATTATGAAAATTTTTCCTATCTATCTCTAAAAGACTAATAATTAAAATAATGGAATTTAAAGAAAATAAATAATAAATATTTTTAAATTATTTTAAATGGGAAAATAATAATAATAAAAATAAGATATTTATTCAGTATCTGTCATCCCTAATTGGAATTAGTAAATTAAGTTATTGTACATAGTTTTCATTAAAAGGCTTAATAAATTAAGCATTTAATAAAATTTTAATAAAAAACAATTCATTGATTCTTAAATAAATCAACGAGCGTTTGTTTAGTATTTTATTTATACATATTTGTAATTATTTCAGCAAACTAATTTGCTTATAAATTATTTTTAATTTCCTATATTAAATAATAATAAATAGTTAATTGATATTAATTCAATAAAAAATTAATATGACATTTGAATCAGTTTAAAATAAATAAATACTTATAAATTTTTGCCAAAATTTACAAAAAAATAATAAATTTTATTTTAAAAATTTTCATTTTATCATTTAAATTATTATTGGTTTTAAAATAACTGTACAAAAGTTTCGTTGATTTGAAAATATTTATCAAAAATATTTGCAAAACTGAAAGAAAAATAGGTCTCTTATCAATTTTATAAAGCTAAAAAATTTATTTGCTTGTTCGTTATTTTTTTAATTTAGTATTCATTTAAATTTATTACTTTGGAATAATAAATAAGGTTAATATATATATATAAAATAATAAATATTTTATATTTAGTTTTGTTTTTTTGTAATAGATTATCAATATATTTTACTTTTTTTGAGATTAAAATTATTGATAAAAAATCTTATTAAAATTATTTAATGGTCAATTTAGAAGTTATTTCAAAAAATTTTCATGATATCTGTAAAAAAATGTGGTTGAATTAAAGTATTTATCAATAAGATTTACAAAATTGAAAGAAAAATTGATCACTCATCAATTTTTTAAAGATAAAAAGTTATTTGCTTGCTCTTTATTTTGTTAATTTTGTATATATTTAAATTTATTACATTTGAATAATAAATTAGGTTAATATATAAAAAATAATAAACAATTTATAATTAATTTTGCTTTTTGTTGTAGATTATTCAAAACATTTTTACTTTTTTTGAGATTTGATTATAAGTTTTATTAAAATTAATATTATATTAAATTAGAAGTAACTTACTTCAAATGATATTTAAAATGTGTGCCTAGTTTTACAAAAAATACTAACTTAAACTTAAAAAATATTATGAAAAGCTGATATATTTATTTACTCGCGCATAATTTGATTAGTTGAGTATTAATTAATAATATTTATATAAGAATAATAAATTAGGTGAATGTATGTATATAAAATAATAAATATATAATAAATAGTTTATATTTAATTTTATTTTCGTTTGTTTGTTAAAATTGTTAATATTATATATTTAAAAATTTTATTAAAATTTATATAATGACAAATTAGAAGCAATTTCAAATAATGTTTATTTGATTGGTAATTAGTTAGTTATTATATTTAGCATTTAGATTTGTTGTTGTTCTTGTTACAGTTAAGTGTTATTAAGTCTTACAAAAATCATTATTAATTATTTTAGCTCAGCTTTTTCCTCATTACTGATACATTTGGTGTAAAAACATCTCTAGGGAATTTTTGTTTTAATTGGGAATTTTGTATATTACTATTTTATACATTATTGTTATATTATTGATTATTCGAACAAAATGTTTTATCTGCTAATTTTATAAATGAGTTTTCTACTTAGCTTATGTCTGACCATAAAGATTTTTGTGACTTTAAATCTTGATATAAATTGCCTTAATGATTTATTTATATGCTGTTTTGCTTTAATAGCTAGTTTTATATTTATGGTGTTATATTATTTTAGTAGAATTATTGATAGTGGTTGCTTATACTTCTAGTATTTCGCTATTAGCTTTGAGTATTGTTGATCTTATTTATTTATTGTTAATTGTTTATCAAAGATACTTAATATTATTGATCCACCTACTTTTGGTTTAGCTGCCCATCAAATTAGAATGGATTTACAATTTTATCTAATTACTTGAAACTGTGTATTTTATTATCCAAGAAAGGACTATTGCAACAAGAGTTAAATTATTATTTATTCTATGAATTTGCATATTGTAATCTTTAGCTATCTTTATTAAATAGTGATTTATTGAAGTTATTATTTATATTTTCGTTCTCTGATGGTTGCGTTAAGACTTACTATTTTATGTTACATTTTCTATTAGCACTAGAATCAGATCTATCGAAATCAACAAAATAGTTGTATTTCTAAAAATCATTTGAAGGATCTTGTTTAGTAAATAACGAAGCTTATGCTGATTAGAAGTTTTTTAATTAATTATCATTTAAGAATTCATTTACTGAAGAATTTTACAATACTTTAATTTGTAATGCTGATGGCTCATTAGTTTTCTTTTCTGATTAAGTTTTATTGTATAATTTACGCTATTTTTGAATATTTTGCTAGTGGTAAGTAACATCTTAAGAAGATGCATTTTCTTTTATTAATTTCTATTCTTCTTTTTCTATCAACTTTTCCTCATTTCTGTTTTCTGAATCATTTAAGCCCTCTGCATTTTAAAGATTCTTATGAGAAGAATCGCCATTATAAAAAGTATAAATATTATCTTCTTTATTATAAAAAACTCCTCCCAAAGGCAATATCTCTTATTAGTCTTTTTGTTAGTTCAGATAAATTTATTTTTATTAGTTAGGTAATTTTTCTTAGACGCCTCTCTTTTGGAAACTTGTGTTTGCTGTGCTAGCTCTTATTTTTGATTATATTGTTTTATCACTTTCCTTTAAAAAAATAAAATATTAGAAAACAATAATAAAAAAAGTAATTTTTATTATATATATTACATCTCTTTTTTAGACTTTTGAAGAATTTTAGTGTTAAAGTCTTATTCCTTCATTCATTTATTAATTTTGATGCTCTTGTTTTTATTCTAATAAATTTTTATTAAAGAATTATTTTAAGGTTTTAATTTAAATATCACAAAAATATGATTAAAAAAAACTAATTAAATAAATGTTAAAACTACCTTTTTAATTATTTAATTTATTGTCTCTCTCATTTTTTGTATTTGTTTTCTATATTTTATTACCTTCATACTTTTATTTAATAGTTATAACAATATTATTCAGTTTCATTTTATAAAATAATATATTACCTGTTGTTATAAATCAGAAGGTAAAACTTCTATATATCCTCGTTATTAAAATTTTTTAGTTGATATTTAGAGGACTTCAAGATGATCATCACTTTTTCTTCTTGCTTGATAAGCATAGATAGAATTAATATAATGTTCATTAGTGTTGTTAGAGCTTTATTAGTTTCCTTCTGAAACTAGATATTATTTATTACAAGAATTATTTATTCGTTTTCGACCATTTTAAACTCTGTTATCACAACACATCGAGTTATTCTACCTCAAGCAGTCTGCTTCACTTTTTTTAACTTTTTTTTGCTAGGACTACTAGCGATTCTATAAATACTAAGATTTTTAGTCAATAGAGTTCATCTCTGTAGAATTATCATCAGTTAGAATTGATTGCTTTTGATTTTATGTAAATACATCGATATTTGATGAGTCTGCTGCATTATTTATTTTGAATTCTTGCAATTCATTTAAGAATGAATTATACTGCTAATTTGCCTGATTATTTTATAAATTTTAAGTAGGCTAAGGACACTTAGAAATGGGAGAAAGACGAATTCTTCCTTTGACCTCTGAGCTATTGCTGTTTCTGTGCTGGGAGATTATATTAAATTAATTTTAATTAGATTTTATTTTATTTTTAATTGCTAAGTTGGAGGATTCATTATTATTATTATTGCAAATAATAGATTAATTATTAGAGGGCTGATTTGAAATATTCATTTTATTTACATTCTTTAACTAAAATAGATTCTTTTAACAGTTTCTAGATATTTAAGCAATAATTTATTACTAGTAATGCTATTCGTCTACAAAAGAGTTATTATTAGAAAAAGTATTGTTGTTAGCCTAAGTTAATGAGTTATCATTGTTGCTATTCATTTTATCATTACTTACTGCTGTGTGAGAGGAAGTATTGCGAGACTTTGGATAAGATTAACCTATCTTGGGGGAAATAGACTGCGATGTGTAAGGTTTTTAATATTTAATAATAGATTGGGACATGTTTTAAGCTGGCTATTATTTTTAATTCTGATTTTTTTCATCACTTTTAACATTTTCAAAATCTTAGGGCTTAAAGTTTGCAGTCTCATTTTTGGAATCATAATCATCGTTCAGTTTTTATTCTAATGATTAAGATCTCTGCAGATTAAATATATTTTAATAAGGAAATATTTGCTTTTCTTTATCAATATTATTCATATTTTGCAGGATGATTTGACTGTTATTTTTTTCAGCATTATCATCTTGCTTGTTTTTTTATATGAATAGGCTAGTCTAAGTAGTATTGTTATTAGTAGTATTACTATTATCAGTCGTACTTGATGTATTAGCTGCAATATCTTTTTCATATTGAACAGATAAACTATTCTTGCGCTTAACCATTATTTTATTTTATGAGCTACAGCCTTAATAATCAATTAAAAATCTTGTTTCGTCGTTGGCAGAAGCATTTTAATTTTACAAATTAGACTTTCCCTTTAAATTATTTTATTCTTATTTCATTTTTTTCTCAACTATTTATTGCTGCCAGATACTCATCAATTCCCTGTCTTTATATTTACGATTTTCTTTTTCTTGATATTGCTCCCTTCTAAAATAGCCTCTAACATTTTAGTTTTAGTAAAAGTAGTTTCTATCAAAATTCATTTATTAATTAGCTTCTGTTCTATAGATCTATTCTTTATTGTTTTCAATTTCTTAAATTTAGTCTTGTTTGCCTAAACTTTCTCCCTTGTTTTCTTTTTGGTTCTCGAATTCTACAGAAATAGTAGTAAAATTTTTTTGGTTACTACTTTAATGATTCCAATTTTGATCTAGCAAATAACTTTCTTTGATATTTTCCTTTAAATTTGTTTCATTTAAACAATTGTCTTCAATAAATTTCTTTTCATCATAAAATTTTTCAAACATGGAGTTATCATTAGCTAATGCCGAAACAACTCTCTAATGTTTTTAGAAGTGCCTTGGCTTTTGCTGAATTCCAAAATGCTTAGGAGAGCTAATCATACTCCTGGATAATTTAATATTACTACTATCGCTGTTTTAGAAATAGAAACATCGTTAATAAATAGGATTAAATTGATTTTTTATTAACTAGAACCAGAAATATTAAAAAAATAATGACGAGCAAGTCTCAATAATTAAATTTTTTGTATTTTTTATTTTGCTTAATTTATGCTATAACGGTTTTTAGTAGATTAGCTTGTAAAAAAATTGTTGAAGCCATCTATCTGATTGTAGTTTTTTAATATTGATTTATTTACTAATCAATTGCTTCAACTATATTAGTGTTTATTAATAGTAAGTAAAATTACAAAAAACACTTCTTTTTGATAAAAAGTTAAAAACTCTTTATAAAAGTATAATAATATAAATTTATCAACGCATATATCTATAATATTTTACTCTAGTTGCGAGTCTTTGGGAATGCATGAGTGCTTACCAAGATGCATGCTAATATGATCGAGGACAGATTAATTAATCACTCTAACGTCTTTATCTTCAACAGTTGCAAAGTTTTCAATTTTTTTTAATATCCTCTATTGATTTTGCTTTATAATTATTACATATAAAATTGTATTAGCATGATAGCTGATAGTCAAATTCCAACTTCAAATATGCAAAAATGTAAATTTTACTACCAAAATTTTTACTTTAAAAAATAAATTGAGTAAATTACATCGTTTTTTTCACCCTTTGCATGATTTTCTAGTGGTTTAGAAGCATTTTTAGTGACTGAATGAGATGCAGTCTTAACTAAACCAGTTCTTTATCTGCAATCGCTTTCTCCCTTAATTTTGCTTCTCATATAAACTCAATTAAAATTTTTCTTAGCTAATTTATCGCTTAATAATTACAAATATTTTTATTTAATAATTCGCCAATCACTATTAATCAATCAATCTATTTACTTAATTTATTTATTTATAAAAAATAAGAGTTCATGGTAAAATAATTAAACAAATATACTATAGTATTTTCAAATTCAGTCTTAGTCTTACAATTTATAATGCTGTTGTTATGTTTTTAATCTTTGACCCACACCTAGCTAGTTGACCAACTGAAAATTTCACATATCCCTAGAAAAAACATATATTTCAGTACAGAAATTTTAATCAAAAAAAGTCTTATTTATTAAGTGAATTACTATCACTTATCTTTGATAACCTCTTTAATTAGATTACATTATTTCAAATTACAAAATATCCAACTAACTAACATTTCTTTTATTTATATTTTTCGCTGAATTCTATGATTATAAACCCTACTATTTTATTAATATTTTGGCATTAAAGAAAGATATTTCTTTTTTAGTTTTAAGTGTTATTTTCATTACATTAAATTTAAAGGTTAATTAAACTAGTTCATATTTTGAAACAAAAACAGTATATTATTAGTAAAATATATTTGATATAATTATTGATACTACTATTAATATAAGGCTAATTATTTACCTATTTTATATAAATGCAATTTTTGTGTTATTTTTAATAAATAATAATTAATGTATTTGTATTACTCATATTACAATTATTTCAAAACCAATTTTTTTGAGGTGGATTTATTTTTTAACTTAAAGGTTATACCAGCTAAATAAATTTATTATTTCTAACAAATTCTATTTAAATTTTTAAACTTGAAGGATTGAATATTTTTATAGTTAAAGTAGCTAAATTTAAAAAATATAAATTTAATTTATTATAAAATTTAACAAAAAGTAACAAAAAGCTTAACTATTATTTTAATAAAATAGTAGATGATATAAATTTTAATATAAATAGCTATAAACATAAAAATGATTTTATTTTAATTTGATTCTTTAAATTTATATTATAAATTATTATTGACGAGTTTATTCATTTCCTTGCGCTGTATGGTCTCAGCTTACTTGTAGAATTACTTCTTTTTGGTCTGCTATCTATAATTTATACTTTTTAAATTTGCATATTATTTGTAAAATTGCTTCCAGTAGCTGTAAAAGCATTAGTAATATTATTGTTGTTATCGCTTATAGAAGTGTTACACTATTCAGTTGCTAATTTAATCTAATTATTTATTATAAATATTTTAGTAATGTATAAATTTAATTATTTTATTCTTAAAATAAAAATATAAATTTATATTTGATTAAGTTACATCTTAGCTTAACTTAAAATAAATTCTATGAAGGAACAACCAAGAAAAAATTTATTATTTAATTAATCTTTACTTACTCAGTTTTTAAATAAAAAATTAAATTCTTGATATTTATTTTAAATTATATTTAAGACTATAAATAATCAAATTTGTAAATTTACTTATGAAGATGATATTTTATGTGCTGAAGACTATTTTCTGTGTGTTCCACAACTTAAGCAATTTAAATTTTATACACTATGTAATTTTTTTGTGGTCAATATAGCCATAGAATTTTGATCATTAATATTGGTTTATTATAATAGTTATAAAATTTTTTTATAGAGTACAAGGATATTATCAAGATCTTTTCTCAAGAATTATATTGATTCAGTGTTGTTATTTATCTTGCTATCAACAATAGCAAAATCTTTTAGCACATCTTCGCCCTCAGCTTTACATTTCAATTACCTCTAAATTCCATTTATATCAATATCTCTCATAAACTTTTAAACTCTCCTTTCTAAATCTTTAAAAGATTCTATTCTTTTTTACATTCTTTCTATTTCCAATTTAGCTGCTTTGCCATCATCTATTTTAGCTAGCTATTATTAGATCTATTCTTGCAACTCTTTAACAATTAATTCTATTTATATATAATTTTTATTTAACTATTTATTCGATTATTTATTTACAATAAATTGAGCAGTTAAAATATTACCTAAATTTAGAGTCGATCCTTGTTTTTCTTTTTCAAACTAGGACATTTCAAAATGTTAAATTTTCATGTCAACAGACTAAAATAACAATAAAAATGACTAATATAAAATTGCTCATTTTAATTAAATTTTATTTACCTTTTTATAATCTTCATAGTCTTCTCTCAATCTTTTATTTTCTGTTTAACAGCGCTTAATATTTGTTTCTATTTCACATATTTTATGAGGACTTAACCATGAAAAGTTAGCGTCTGCACCTCCTGTTCCATTTTTTATTGCTTTTGGCAGTAAATCTGCAAATCTTTTATCCTTTTATTAAGATAAATTCTTTTAAAAAAGCTTTATATGCTGTATAATTATTTTACAAAATCTTCAATAATTTATTTTGTAAATTCCTCTAAGAATTTTATTTTTTGCTGCATTCTTTCTACTTCTGAAGTAGTTTCAGCTTGCTTTTCTAGGATAGCAATTTTTTTCCTCAATTCATTTAAATTATTATTATTTTATTTATTGAATTCGTCGAATATTTCTTTCATCATTGCCTTTTTAGCTAGCCTTATGAATAAATATATTTAATAAATAAATGCTTTACCAGCTAAATAAAATGACTTTACTTTTCATCAACTTCTTTTATATTTTATTTCAAACTATTTTATTTTTCTGTAAAACTTTCTTAAAGCATTTTAATTTTAAATGCCAAATCTTGTTGAATGGAGTCTATTCTTTCACTGTCTCCTGCTGTGCTTGCCTTCATCTATTAAATTATAAATATAAAGTATTATTTAACTCAAATGAATAAATATCTATTTTTATATATCTTTGATTAATTAGAAATGATTTTACATCTCGAAGAATCTTCTCTTAAAAAGCTGTGAAGCAATTATCTACATAATCCTAAGTTACCCTCTTTTTTATTATTTCTTCACAATCTTAAATACGCCATAAAGTATTTTTTTCCACATCGCTTATTTTATCGTCATAAGTATTCAATTAAACGAGTAGTTTTTTTTCTAGTTCATAAATTTTTTTTTCAAAGTATGCTTTGTTTTCTGATAAATCGTTTTACACGCTCAGCTTGAGCTTAGAATGTTTATCTTTAAGATCATCTTTACTAACCTTTTATGATATCAAGTCCTCTAATTTAGCCACTTTAGCTTCCAGTTATTAAGTTCTTAGAGAGTCTGATGAAGATAGCTGTGTTAGCATAGCTAGTTTATTTGCTAACTTATAAAGCTCTTGGGTTTGAGGATTATTTTCTGCCTTAAATAATTTTCCTATATCCCGTTTTAAATTTGAAACCATATCATTATTAGCAAAATTCATTCCTTCATGCAAAGTTTTGTAATTATCTGGCAAAATTTTACTTATAATTTTGTTTTAAACATCGTTTTGTAATCCATTAATTAATTAAGCATGTTGATTGATTGTATTAGCAATGTTGTTCAAATATTTCTTAAGGGAGTCAAAATTTAAATCAAACTAGAAAAGTTGCTAGCTTTCGACATTTAACTGAGAAGGAAGTAGCTGTTTTGCTGGCTCTTTATAAATTAAAAAAATCAATATAAACGTGATAAATATTTTATTTAGCAAGTAATATTGTAAATGATATTTGATATTTTTAGTTGGATTTAACTTATTAAGAAAATAAAATAGCAATAACATAATACTTACCATTGCTGAATGCAGCTTCTTAGTTTTAGGAAGACATAGCTGAGATTATTATTAAACTGTAAACAAAGTTAAGTAAATAAATAATGTAGTTGTTAACTTTATTAATTTGTAATTCCAAAAATAAGTGATTTTTATTTATTTAGATATAAGCAAAGGTTAATAACTAATGGTAAAAATTATAAATTTTGTTTTATTAACAAAAAAAATAGTATGCAAATGCACTTCCAATAAATTTATCTAAAATTATCAACAAATTTTATTAATATTTTACTCTCTCAGCCATAATTTTTTTCATTTTACTTTTTTATTACTCATGTAATATTTTTTAACAAAAACTTAAAAATAAATAAATAAATTATTTTTTGTTTTTTCAAAAATAACTTATGTTTTATTTCATAAATAAGCTTAATAGGAACTTTTTTTTATAAAATAATATTTAATTAAAAAAATTTACAATTGATAAATAATATTTAATTTTATATAATTTGATAAATAAAATTTCATTTTATAAGTTGATAAATAGTATTTAATTTTATAAGTGGATAATTAGTATTCATACAATTAATTATAACAATTATATTCTTAATAATATTCCAGCTAAGTCATAATAGGATACTAAGTATATAAAATTAATTTAATTTAATTAATTGTCAATTTTTTTTAGTAATTATTGAATATTTTACCATTACATTATAGACTTTTATTAATTTCTAATAAATTTTCTATTTCAGTTCTAAATTTATAAATAATTTAAAAAACATAAAAATAAATTTTAGCTAAAAATCTTTTATTCTAAGATTGAGTAGAATCAGATCAAAGATTTAAGTTTTAAAATTAATTTTCTAATAAAAATATTTTTTTTATTAAGATATTAAAAATAAATGTTTTTAAAAGAATTTATGGTTGTTGCTTCCCTTATTTTTTAATAATTGTATTTATATAATTTATATTTTAAGATCAAATATTTATAAGAAATATGCTAGCTCAAATTCAAAAACTTTATTAATTCAAGCTTATGCTTTTTAGACTAAAATCTAGCTCATTTATGGTTTTTTCAATGTAAATTTATGAATAATTACTTAAAGGGGGGTTTTTTGAACAAAAGATAGAAATCATTTTAGTTATTAAAGACCCAAAACATTACATGATTAAATAAATAAGAGATTATAATTTATAGTTTAAAATTCATCTCTAAAGAAAATAAACTATAATAAATATATTTGTAACTTAAAAATGATCTTAAAAATTAGTAAATTTGTGAAAAGAAATATATCATCTTCTTAAAATTATAAATATAGACGCTGTTCGCAATTTTATATAATTAAAGAATTTTTGAAATTATCATAAACAAGCAAGAAAATTACGGTTGATAATTAATTAATTAATTATTTTAGATATTAACTATAATTTACATTCCCATAGTAAAGTATTTGATTAACGCATAAAATAATAAAATAAATAAATAAATCTATAGATTCAAGCATTCATTTTGGATTGAGAGAAAAACGCAATTTTTCTTTTTTATTAAATTTAAACAAAAAGCATAACATATGCTTAATAAAATGATATTAAGATTCATAATTGTTTGTTTTGATAATAAAATAGTGAGAATTTTGTATTTTTTGAAGTGAAAACTGTACAGATGCGTTAGAAAATAAAAAATTTTATTAATTTTACCAATTTTGTTTAAAAATTTTTTCTTAATTTTATGGAATCGTTTCAGTTATTATTTATTTATTGATTACCTTAAATTTACACTTAACATAAACAGTATTTAGTTTAGAGTAAATTCGAGCTTGCTCACAACTTTTATAATTAAAGGATAGGCTAAAATGTTTATCAAGAACGCTGCTTTAGTTTTTCTTTCCTCCCTAGCTAGCTCTAATAGAGTGAATTATCGAAAAAGGATGCTGGAAATCTAATCAAAATTTAAATTAGGATATTTGTAATCATAGAAAAAGATAAACTCAATCAGCCTATCTAAATAGATAATTTATTTTAAAAATTTAATTTGAAATAAGAATTAATCAAGCTTAGTTCAATACTATTATAATTTTAAGTAATGTTTTTATTATGTATGCGTTAGAAGTTATGCAAAATAATAAAAATTAAAACAACTTATTGCAATTAGAGTAGATATTCTAACTTAAATTTTAAAATCAATTTTTTATATCTTGTAGCTAGCTTTTCTTGAAACAGAAAGTATCTATCTATCTATCAACCTTCACTTTTATTTTGTAGAAGTCTAAGAAAAAAGAATTTATTTATTTATTTCATTTTCAAATAAATGTTTCTACATACATGCCTTTATTTTAAATCTTTATTATTGATAATATTCTTAAGTCATGTACACTTTATTGTGTAAGATAATTAAATCTTTTTCTTTAGATTAAATTTATAAAAAACTGATTATTAAGGATAATCTTTTTTATCATATAGAAACTACTTCAAGCAAATTTTTTCTTCTTCATCTTCTTCATTTTAATTATTCTTTTTTACATTAAAGCATTTTTCTTTTCCACAGTAAAAAGATAGCAGGCAAAATTCTATAAAATGAAATATATTATCCTTCAAGTAAAAAATATACTGAAACTTTAATTTAAAAGCAACAAGCTTAATGCTATTAAGTAATATTTAAAATATGGCTTTAAAAAAAATGTTATTTTCTTGAAGGAAAAAAATTAAGTTATAGATAGAAAAATTAAAAAATGATTGTAAATAAGCATAAATTTTATAATTTAACACATAAAATTGATTAAAAAAATGAGCTAATTAGGGTTTAATTAGCTCAATTTGCTATTATTTAGTAGGATGCAAGTTCAGCAAGCAAAGAAGAAAGATGAAACAAACATATTAGCCAATTAATAAATAATTATGTGTTTGCATGCTTCAATTAATAGAAAGAATTAAGCAGGAAAATTAATTATACAAAAAAATAAATTAATAAATAAATAAATTAGATAGTGAGGAAGTATAGGATAAGAGGGAATGTCAACTTAAAAGAAGAAAAGAAAAAGGAGGAGAAGATTGATTAATTAATTAATTAATCAATTAAGAAAGAAGAAAGAAAGTAGAGTGATATAGAGACAGAGCCAGAGACAAGACAAGAGAAAGTGATAGGCAGTGAATGAACAGATAAATAATTTATTTGAAAAGAAATAGTTAATATAAAAATTAATTAATTGTAATTAATATTAAGAAAAATAAATAAAAATTAATTATATCAAACAATTAAATTCAGAAGATAGTGAGCTTCCTTGTTAATCATCACCAACTCAGTAGTATCCATACAAAATAAATAAGCAAGTAGCAATATAGATATATAAAAACTTAAAAAATACTCAGTTTATTCTCTCTTATTTTTCATCTTAAACTCCATTTTCTTTTCTTCCTTTCACCTTTCTGTTAGCTTGCTCTATTTATTTGATTCTTTAAGATCTCTTCAGCCCAAATCTGCTATTTTTTATTGCAATTTAATTGCATGATTCCTTTTATTTAATGACATTTTTATTCCTGCTGACTCTAATGTTTGCTTTTTGCCCAAGCACTCAAAACGTAGAGTGAGCTCACGTCTTTTAAGTCGTATACATAGTATGATGGTTAAAGCAGCAACAAAGCTCAGCCTATAGCTTTAAAGAATCAATCAGCTGAAAAGTTAGAGTGTTTGATTAGGTGAAAAGGCCGTTTTAATTGATAAAAAACAAAAGACTATCTCTGGAAACCCGAAAGTTTTTTTAGTATTATTAAGTTTTTTAAAAAGGTGAAGAGAAGGTGAATAGGAGGAATAGAAAAGTAGAAAGAAAGAGATAAATATTATAACAAATATCATTTACTTATACATAATTAATATGTCAATAAATATAAAATAGTGTCTAAATCATACTAACAAAACGGGATTACCTTTACAACAGGAGAAAGATATGAAGTTGATAAGTTATTAGGCTCAGGAGCATATGGCCAAGTAGTGAGAGCCAAAGATAAGAAAAATTAGAATCAGTATGTAGCAATAAAGAAATTACACAAAATCGAAGATGTTATAGATGCAAAAAGAGTTCTTAGAGAAATAAGAATCTTACGTTATTTAGTTCATGAAAATATCTTGTAATTGAGTGATATTCTTTATGATGACGAAGATGAAAATTAAGAATTCGGCACAATCTATTTAGTAACCAATTACATGGAAATCGATTTGTATCAAGTTATTAAGTCTGATCAAAAGCTCAGCGATTAGCACATCCAATATATTATCTATTAAATCCTTAAGGGTTTGAAGTATCTCCACTCTGCAAATATTATCCACAGAGATCTCAAACCATCAAATCTTTTAGCCACAGAAAAATGTGCTATTCGTATGTGTGATTTTGGTTTATCAAGAAGTATTGAAGATGAGCAGAAGCAAGAACAACAACTAGTAAGAAATCTTATTTTATTTTTCAGCTTCATTATTCTGATGCATAATTTACACAAACAAACAAACAAATAAATAAATAAAAAAACTAACAAACCCAACCAATATTTATTTTAAACTCTATTAAGTTATTCCCTCAAATAATTCATTCATAATTGCAACTAATTTTCTCTCTATGAGTTTTATACAGTCAACAAAAAGCAAGCAAGCAAACAAATAAATACTTGTAATTAACCTATCTATGATGAATTTAAATTGGAAATAACTAAAGAATTCAAATTTTCACAGTGCTCTTCACCTTTACAAAAAATATGAAATTAACATAAATATTTTGATTCTCTGACAACAAACAAACAAACAGATCATTAGATTTTTTACTTTAAAAATTTTAAAAGTAGTTAGAATAAATAAAATTTGATTAGCATGCAAAAATTGTTTAAAGAATATGGAATTTATTTCAAGTTATAATTCAGATTTCATTGAATTTATAGAATCATTTATATAAAGAGAAAGCACAAATTTTTAAAAACATTGAAATTTTTAGACACGAATATAATAAAAAGGTAGTAAATAGATCTAATAAGTATCTGATATTTATTGATTTGCTCATTAAATCCATTTCTAATTTTTTTAAATTAATAACTAATAATTAAAAAATTGAAAAAAAATAATTAGCTAGCCATTTTAGATTAGCATTTTGTTAAAATCAACAGGTTATTATCTAGTTTTTCTTGTTTCAAACATAAAAATATCATTAAAAAGCTTAAAATATAATGTAGCATATATAAGCAAAAAGTTAAATAAGATGATAAATTTGAGCTACTTTTTGAGGAAAATTATTTTTTGGTATTTTTTTGAACAAACATGTAAAAAAACATACAATATTTTATAATAAAAGTTAAAGCAAATGCTTATTGAATAAAGCTTTAGCAATAAATCAGACTGAGTATAAACAATAGAGTTTTTTATTCTTGTTTTATTTAATTTAATTTATTTGGGGAATAGAGTTGATTTCAAATAAAGCAGAATTAGAAAGAAAGAAATAGAAATATAATTTATTGCTGCCAAATAAAAATTGGTTCTCTTCAATAAATTAATTAATTAAAATTTATCAATCTTTTCTAATCCACAAAGCAATTTCTAAAAAATTAAATAAAAAATAAACCAATTAATAAATCTAAGACTACTAATTAATTTATTAATTATTTCATTCATTTTACTTATAAAAAACTTCACTTATTTTAAACAAATAAATTTAACTAAAAATAGTAATAAGGTTAATTAACCGAATACGTTGTCACTAGATACTATAGAGCTCCTGAAATCATGCTTAGCTCTCATGTTTACTCAAAGGCTGTCGATATTTGGTCTCTTGGTTGCACATTTGCCGAACTGATTAGCCATTAAATCCTCTTTAAAGCAGATAATTATATTAAATAAATTAAGTTAATTTTCGATAAGCTTGGTATGCCTCCTGAGGAAGATTTGCAATTTATTGGAAACAGTAATGCTAAATAATTCGTAAATACTCTCGCTAAAAAGAATTCTGTCAAGGTTAGCAGCTTTATTAATTATGAAAATCCATTAGCCCTTGACTTAATAGACAAGATGCTTGCTATAAACCCCAGCAAACGTATAACTGCTGATGAAGCCCTTGAACACCCTTACTTCTAATCTATTCGTGATGTCTAAGAAGAAATCAAATTCACTGGAACTATCAACTTTGATTTCGAAACTGACTCTGAAATAACAATTGAAAGCTTGAGAAAATAGATCTTGGAAGAAGTCAACCACTTTAGATAAGTTAATAAGGTACCTCCCTTGAAAATACCTGATTTACTTGCTCTTTGTGAAAAGCGTACAAAAGCTATACAAGAAAAAGCAAACCTCCATAAAAAATGAAAATGAAAGAATGAAAGAAACTATTCAATCAATCAACCAATCTATCTATCTATCAATCTAACACAACACAATACAACCGATTTTTATTCTAGAATATCAAAATTAACTAAACCTATGACAGTTTTCATTTCTTTTATGACAAACTAACTAACTTAAATTTCCAAATTATCATACATTCATTCATTCATACATACATACATTCATTCATTATCATTATTATCCTTACATATATATATACACTCTTTCCAACAAACACACTTATTATAAAAATATGAATATCATCATAACAATTATTAATTATAAATGCATTGAATCATTTGTTCGTTCGTCCATCCATAAATGTAGTTAGTAGTTCATTAGTTCTTTTATTATATTTCATTAAAAAATCTATATATATTTGCTTTATTTTAGCTGGCAATATCAATCTTTTGTAATTCAATTTATTAAATACATTTCCAATTATCTAATTAATCAACAAAGTTAAAAATAACTACCAGTAAATAAATAAAATCCCATTTTACTCAATAAAAGCAAAAAATTATTTTTAATTTCTGATTGAGAAATTATTTCATAAAACACAAAATTTTCTGAGTTATGTTGAATTAATCTTTAATTTTCCATAATCTTTCTTTTGTTTTCAGTAGAAAAATTATTCAATTTCTTTTAAAAATTATTTTCAAAATATTTAGATTTTTGTAGAGCAAATTACTAATTTTTATGTATTTATTAATTTAATTTATATTAAGTAAAGAAAGAAGATAAAATTTGATTTTTTGATTTTTGTTAAGCATAATAATATTAGAAAAAAGAATTTAATTTATTAATATAATTTAAGGGGTTGGGGTTGGGGTTGGGGTTGGGGTTGGGGTTGGGGTTGGGGTTGGGGTTGGGGTTGGGGTTGGGGTTGGGGTTGGGGTTGGGGTTGGGGTTGGGGTTGGGGTTGGGGTTGGGGTTGGGGTTGGGGTTGGGGTTTGGGGTTGGGGTTGGGGTTGGGGTTGGGGTTGGGGTTGGGGTTGGGGTTGGGGTTGGGGTTGGGGTTGGGGTTGGGGTTGGGGTTGGGGTTGGGGTTGGGGTTGGGGTTGGGGTTGGGGTTGGGGTTGGGGTTGGGGTTGGGGTTGGGGTTGGGGTTGGGGTTGGGGTTGGGGTTGGGGTTGGGGTTGGGGTTGGGGTTGGGGTTGGGGTTGGGGTTGGGGTTGGGGTTGGGG